GTTTCCTCTTGTGTTCACTGTTTTTCCTTGTTCACTCTTACACGTTTTTGTCTTTCTGGATCTAATCCCCTTCGATTTCGTGCATTTTTTACTCTTTTTTTTTGCAAGATTGGCGTGCTTGGGGTAACCTGCCCCTCTTTTGTTAAAGGGTTTATTAAGAAAATGTCTTTCGGTTCAACTCAATTGATGGGAGATTTTCAGCAAGTTTGAAATGAACGAAGGCATTGAAGGAAGGAAGGAAGGGAGGGAGGGAGGGAGGGAGGGGGCAAATATTCCAAAATCAAAATTATTTCTGCCACTTTAGTGCCACCTGGTGGCATAAAGGCCCTGATGCCTGGGAACATCCCTTGGTCAAGAACTGCTGAATGTAGTGGGTGAAAAGCTAGAGGCTTCAGCGCGGAAAGTGAGAGTGAGACCAGAAGACACACAAGTAAACACTGGAGTTTTCAATCTTTTTAATAACTTTTCAAGTGTTTCTTTGTTTACACCTACATGATATAGGAAGAGCAAGAACATTTTAGGGAGAAATAAGTTAGAAAGTTTAAATATAAATATTGAACTTGAGAACAATTCAGGAAAACATGTTCGTACCACTCGGGGCCATGGACAGACCAGGACCTGAGGTTATTTTATTACACAAAGTAACTGGTACAATTTACTAACAAATCAGTTCACAATACCTTCTCCCCTGCATCAGAGACCGCCAAGTCGGCTCCCACACCCTGGGTCCCGGGATCCACATCCCAACAGCCTCTTCCTCCTGTCCCTTCTGTGACTAGTGCTGGAAGCGTGCCGTTGAGACAGAAACAAAAAGGACATCGTCACACATCAGCCAGCGGACCCGGCTCTTTTGTACACAGCTGACACATATTTCCAATTAACAGACACCATGAGATCACATGTATTGAGGTGCTAGAATAGCTAAAATAGCGCAGAGCAATGCAGAGACCCTGCCCTCAGGGAGCTTACAGGCTAACGGGTACCAAACTGACAAAGGGCATCAGTTATCATCCATTGTTATGTTTTTCTTCTTTTCTTGCAGAGAGGTGTTCGTGCGATGGTGGTGACACCGAGAAGGTAGACTCTCCATCTCACTTTCACTGAATAGGAAAAAGCCGCCTGGGGAGGGTGAAGTTGAAAACAGGCATCGTGGGGCAGAGCAAGGCTGGCAGGCCCAGAGCCAGGGACACGGGTCTGCGCCAGGCTCCATGGTGGCTGCACGAGAGCAGCAGGCCATACACAAGGCTTAGCGGGAGGGACTCGCCCCACAGCAGGAGGGGAACTGGTTTTAAAAAACAATTTCCAAGTGGATTTTTTTTCTCACAACTCTTGTTTATGCTCTAAATTTATAATACTGTTACTACTGTATATTTAACCTATAAAAACAAATATTTCTACTCCAGAAATATTTTTTACGTACCACCCACAGATGTCACTCCATTCATTAAATCTCTGTTGGTGGGACTTAGGCTCACCTTATACTGATTAAACAAAACCTTCTAAAGCCCTTTCACATGTAGAATTTCACTGGACCCAGGCCCAATCAGGACCCTGATGAAACAGATACGTTGTGACTCTGTTTACATATTTTTTCCTCAGTGCCATCTTGAAACTTCATTTCTGATAAAGGAAATACTGTTTTCTCCTTGTTTAAATGAGAGTCCTCTAATACAAAGAAGTTTTTGTTTAAGCAGAAATGACTTCAAATTATAGCAGCTAAAAAGTAAGTTCATTTCGCCCAAGCCAGTTAACACTTGTTCATGTATACAGTGAAGGGACATTTTATAAAGACTTTTCTGTCACTAAAATGTGGTTCCACTATTGGGTACTGTTCTTAACTCTTAGTGAGATGCCGAGAGCATAAACAAAAGAATTGGCCATTCTCTCTCTTCCCTTCATAGGAACAAGGACCCCCCGATGGGGAAGGCAGCTGATGGTGGTCACATGAAGGCAGGAGAAGGGAAGCTAGACCAGGTCCCTCTGTTCCAGCTGTCAGCTCAGAGGGGATGAGAGGGTCTGCAGAACTTTACAGGGAGCAGACTGCCTCCCCCACCTGAGTAGCTATACTGAGGCCTGAAACAGAGGGCCTTGCTTGGCCTATAACCTCAGGCGGACCTGGGCCTGACTTAGAAGGACACAGTCCTCAGAGTCAAACCCAGGGCTGAGCCTTCAGGTCTAGACCCTCATGCAGGGATGGTATTTGTCCTCATCAACGTTACAAAGAGAATCAAACTCTTGCAGCACCACGTTCCAGTCCAGCCTGGAGCTGAAGAGGTCTTTGGGGTACAGGACCCCGCCCACGTGCCCTGCCCCTCCTCTACAGGAAGCCTGATATCAGAACCAGCCTCTTGGTGGTTGTGGCAGATGTCCTGGGAGATGTGGATACGAAGGGGAGAACGCTCGCTGCCTGCTCTGCGGGGAGGGAAGGCGTGGCCCTGTGCTCTGAGCAGCTGTGCAGCCGGCACGGCCCCTCCCAGCTGTCCCAGGGTGAGTCTGAGAGCAGCAGATCCCTACGTGTATTTTTAGCTAGAACTTCCTTAATGGCATAATGAGGTTCTTCTTTAAAGAGGAAATCACCCAGGGCAGTACAACTCCCCTGATGAATCTGGGCTGTGTCGAAATGAAAAACATATGTGCGCATTCTGAAAATAGAAACCCAGGATTAGATAAAGCAGAACTGAAGAGGGGAAAATAATTACTGATGCTAGTAAAAAAATGTATAGAATTTTAAAACTGTACCGTTTCCATTCATCTTATTTAACCAATGGTTGTTTGTAAAGAAATTCTAAGACAATTTAATCCTCCAATGTCTAGCTACTAAAAGACATATAAGACCTGGTGGGAGTAAGGTTTTTATCACCCGAACATAATAAAAATTATAGTTGTAAATATCTTTGCATGCTCTTATATCAGTAACCTTTGGAAAATTAAATATTTAGCTTACCACTATACATATAACAGTATAATTAGGTTTAGAGAAATTACCTAAATCAATTCTCTACATTCTATTTTTCTGTATTTAAAAAATATTGAAACAGTATTTTCATAAATAAATTCTAACCTGAAGTGTATGACAACATTTATCAAAAATCTTTTGGCACTTCTGCTATGTTTGTGGGGTTTTTTTCAGTTTTCTTTTAAATATTTCTAATTGGATTTATTGGCGTGACATTGGTTAATAAAACTATATAGGCTCCAGGTATACAATTCTATAATACATCATCTATAACCTGTATTGTGTGTTCACCACCCGAGTCAAATCTCCTTCCACCACCATTTATCCCTCCTTCACCCTCTTCTACCTCCTCTCACCCCCCTTTTCCTCTGGTAATCACCATGCTGTTGTCTGTGTCTATGACAGTTTTTGTTTGTTTGTTTAATCCCTTCACCTTTCTCACCCAGCGCCCCCGCCCTCACCTCTGACAGCTGTCTGTTCTCTGTATCTATGAGTCTATTTCTGTTTTGTTTGTTAGTTTATTTTGTTCATTAGATTCCACATATACGTGAAATCATATGGTCTTTGTCCTTCTCTGACTGGCTTATTCACTGAGCATAACACTCTCTAGGTCCATCCACTGCTTTTAACCCCGCCACCACATACGTGTGTGTGTGTGTGTGTGTGTGTGTGTGTGTGTTTTCCTACTCTGCTCAGTTCTGTTTTCTCCACTGATGCAGAAATTAAGTTAAAGGTCTTGTTTTCTAAAAAAAAAAAAAAAAAGTTGAAAAATATCTTTTAAAAGTGTATTCAATAAGTTATATCAAAAATCAGTAAGTTTGAGGGGAGGTACAAAGCTTGCCTGGGCAACAGCAATACAACGCACCAGCTAACTATTCCTTCAGTCCTTATCCTTGTAACAACAGAGTCATTATTACACGTCAAGGCGAGTGTATTTATTCTCAGGGTTTTTTCTAATTTTAAGAAATGCATTATGTCCCCTTCAAATAGGAATACAGTCGTTGCCTTCATGTTATGCAACCACTACACACACGGGATTGTGTGTCGGCTCATAGCAAAGGCCCGTGTTTCACTTACAAGCAGTAGGCGGTCCTGGCGCGTCACAACTGGGCACATCGGGCAAGGCAGCTTCTGCACAGCCCTCCTCGGGGGGCTGACAGGCATCGCCCGGCTGGGAGGCCTTCACTGCGACCTGCAGGCTCTCAGCTAAGAAGCAGGAAAACGAAAGTAAGTTTAAAAATAAGTATATGTACCTCTCGGGTACACTTATAGTTGCTCATGTGGAAGATAATACAATAATTCATAAATAATAATGTGAGAATACACTCTGTGCTTTGCATACTCACAACCACAAACCCGCCCTGTGTGTGTGTATTTTAACATTTAGACCAGAAGTTGGCAAACTATACTTGGCCTGTGTCTGTTTTTATATGGCCCAGGAGCAAAAAAAAAAAAAATGGTTTTTACATTTTTAAAGAGTCAAAATACATACACATGCACAGACACAGAATAATGTGTTCCAGAAAGTTTATGTAGCCTGAAAAGCCTAAACTATTTACTATCGAGCCCTTCACAGAAAAAGTTTGCCCACCTGCAATCTAAAGCAATGCTTTAAGCATCATTTTATGATAGAGTATTCAATAAAAAAACAAACTTGTATAAAAATATATCACTTTCGGTAAATGACTGTGCTGAAAAAATTTAATTAATTTAAATATGATATTGGGCATTAGGATTTTAAGACTTTCTACTCTGAAATGTTAGTTATTCTTCAAAAAGAGTATTTCTCCAGCCCTGGCTGGTGTGGCTTGTTGGTTGAGTGTCATCCTGTGCACCAAAGGTTTGCCAGTCCAATTCCTGGTTAGAACACATACCCACGTTACAGGTTCAATGTTCTCTCTCACATCCATGCTCCTCTCTCTCTCTCTCTCTCTCTCTCTCTCTCTCTCTCTCTCTCTCCCTCCCTCCCTCCCTCCCTCCCCCTTCCTCCCTTCCTCTCTCTCCCTCAAATCATTTTTCATTTTTTTTAAAGAGTATTTCTCCAAACATGCCTTTAAAAAGATTCCCATTCCTCATGGTAGACCTACTGGATCACATTCTCAGGGAGGGAAAAGGGGGATTTGCACTTTAAACAAGCACCTAAATTTTTAAGTGAAGTTTTTCTATTTACAATAAAAGGTTTTCAACTAGCATGTGGAACAGTATTACTTTGAGGACCCTATAAATATTTCCAAAACAGTGTGTCCAATGATTTAATTTATCAAATTGATGACCTTCTCTGTTCTGTGGGCTACTGGGCATCTGATAACTAGTAAGGGGAGTTTGCAGATTGGAGAAGAGAGAGACAGATAACTAACTGCTCTACAAGGTAGCACGTGTTCAATGCTAAGTTCTATCACCCAGGTGTTAGAGCATTACAAAATGATACACACTCATAGATACAGAGAACATTTTGATGACCGCCAGATAGGAGGGGGGTTGGGGAGCTGGGTGAAAAGGGGGAAGGAATTAGGAATTACAAATCGCCAGTTATAAAAACGGTCACGGGGATGTAAGTACAGCAGGGGGAATATAATCACTCGGAGTTTTGATGAAAGCATCACTGTTTCCTGAGCACCAACCACAGTGCACACTGTAGATGCTCAATACACATTTGATGAATGAATGCGTAAGTCCATCGGCAGACCTCATGTCAGACCACCTCTGTGCCGTTCTGAAGACCTGTGCCCTCAACCGGTCTTAGATTCCATGATCCCTAAGTTCTCCTCCAGCTAATGTTGAGATGCTAAGGCAGAGCTTGGCAAACATTCTCTGCAAAGAACCAGATTGTAAATATTTTAGTCTTCGTGGCCCATACCATCTCTGTTGCAACTATTCGTCCTTGCCATGGCAGCAAGAAAGCAGCTGTCGATGTTATGTGCACAGTGGGTGTGGCTGTGTCCCAACTAAACTCTATTTACAAAGACAGGCGGTGGGACGCATTCCGTCTGTGGCCTGTACTTACCAGCCCTGGTTCTGCACAATAGCCCTCTCTCAGGTGGTGGCTGTTTTATCTCCCAAGCTCTTCGTCCCTATTGTCACTTCCAGCCCCATTTCTCCCCTTAAGTCCCTTTTTACCTTAAAATTTCCCTTTCACCACTCACTACTGCTCCTTGTTCCCAGTCACCAACAGACGCCTTGAACAATTTAAGCACCTGGTGCAATTGACCGCCTCCCCACAATCTACTCCTATCAAAACTCTCAGTGAGTCCAATTCCATGAACACAGAACTTCCAATACCCTGGCGTTCCATGGCCTTGTCGTCCACCCTGCCTCAGCCACCAACCCCCACGTTTACACCCTAGACACTGTCGTTCTCCACTCGGCAGTCAGAGGGTTTATTTTAAAACACAAAGGAAATCACTCTTCAACTCAAAACTCTGCAATGCTTCCCTCACACTTAGGGTGAAATTCAAAGTCCTTACCTCCATCCAGGTAACCTGGTCCTAGTTAACGCTGACTCATCTCCTGCCACTTCCCAGCACTCACATCACTGTACCTGCACTGTCCTCTGTGCTGTTCCCCAGACAAATCTGGCACTCACCTGCCTCAGGGCCTTTGCACCTGCTGTTCCTATGTCTGGAACATTCTTTTCCCAGATTCTGTTTGGGTTTCTCAATTCCCTGTGTCTGCTCATATAGCACTATATCAAAGGAGGCCTCCACTGTCCGCCTTCTCCAAAATAAAACCTCCCCAACCCCATTACTCCCTAACCCCCACATCCTGCTCATTATTCTCCAGAGCACTTGACATAACCTGACGTATTTATTTCCTTACATTTCGCTGTTTCAGGAGAGTCAGGACTTTGTCTTATTGTGCTACATCCTCAGCACCAAGACCACAGCACATGGCCGATGGTAGGTACTCAGTACACGTTTTCTGAAGTGGTCAAACCACATCCTTTCGGAAGCAACTTACCTTCTTTCAGTGCCGCTGCCAGCAAGGAGGCCGCCTGGGGAGGCTCGCCGGGGTCGGGTTTGATGAGGAGGTGGGGCTCCAGGTGGACATCCTCGAATCCACTCAGTTCTCCCAACTCAGCGTAGATATGCAGCTTCTCCTCCAAATATGTACAGATTTGCTGGTCTTGATTACAGAGTAGTTCTATGAAACAGCATTTACCGGAGAAGGTTATCACAGGAACTTAACAGCTCTGAGAATCCACGTGACAAGACAAAGAAGTTGCGGATTAGCTAGCGGTGTGGCCTAACAGGTAAGATAAGCTTGTTGGGTGGGCCAGATCCAAGTTCAAACCCTAACTGTTCCATTCAGTGACTGCGGCCTCCAGCAAATGACCTACTTCTCTGAGCTTCCAATGCATTTCCTACAAACGGGGTACTCAATAAATGTCCATTTCCTTTCCCAGTCCCCCAATTCCAGAAAAGCTTGCAAAACTATTCTTTGCTGGGGCTGTTTTCTATTACGACGAAACATTAAGCTGGGGAATGACACTGAGGCGGCTCATCCATAATGAGTGAAACCCACAAGGGAAAGCAATGCAAAGGCTGACACTGCCCAGGCTCCAGCCAGCCTTGGTCAAAACCAAACACAGCGGCTCATGTTTCTATTCCTAAACCTCCAATTTCTTTGACCAACTCTGCATGCATCATTTTCCTCTGATCTCAACATGTCACAGGATTCTTCGAGCTTAAAGGGACCAAACCAGCATCTAATCCAGGGGTTCTCCATCTCTCTGCCTCAGAATCACCTGGGAGAGTTTAAAATACTAATGTCTGCACCCCTCCTCCGACAGATTCCCCCTGAACTGGTTGAGGGTGGGGCCCAGGCGCCAGGACTGTGAACAACCTACCCGCAGTGATTCTAGGATCCAGCCAGAGATGAGAATCACTGAGTTGACTTAATTTCCGAACTTCACGGACTTGAAATTTCACAGAGCTCTTGTGTTCCTTAATCACAGTCATACAACTGTGACCTGACAGTGCTGGGCCTTAAAACTAAACCACTGGACAGCAGTTCTCAGAACCACCGGTGCCACACCACTCACAGTTACTGTTTCATAAGTGTCATGTGCAAAAATTTTAAAAATTTATTATTTTTTACATTCAATATTATTTTGTATTAGTTTCATGTGTACAGCATAGTGGTTAGCCAGTGGTCAGCAAACTCATTAGTCAACAGAGCCAAATATCAACAGTACAACGATTGAAATTTCTTTTGAGAGCCAAATTTTTTAAACTTAAACTATATAGGTAGGTACATTGTTATTAACTTAATTAGGGTACTCCTAAGGCTTAGGAGGAGCCACACTCAAGGGGCCAAAGAGCCGCATGTGGCTCACGAGCTGCAGTTTGCCGACCACGGGGTTAGACAATCATATACTTTACAAAGTGTTTCCCTGATATTTCCAGTACCCACCTGGCACCATACAGAGTTATTACAACATTATTCACTACATTCCCTATGTTGTACTTTACATCCTGGTGACTATTCTATAACTACCAATCTGTACTTTATAATCTCTTCACCTTTTTCACCCAATCCCCCACCTTCCTCCCCTCTGACAGCCATCAAAATGTTCTCTGTATCTATAAATCTGTTTCCGTTTTGCTTGTTCATTTATATTTTTCTTTAGATCACACATATAAGTGAAAGCATATGGTATTTGCCTTTTTCTGACTTATTTCACTTAGTATAATGCCCCTCTGGTACAGCTATGCTGTTGTAAATGGTACGATTTCATTATTTTTCATGGCCAAGTTATATTCCATTGTATATATGTACCACAGCTTTTAAAAATGTGTTCTTCATCACAAAGGAGGAAGTGGGGAGAGATACACCTTATTTAAGCACTCCCAGTGCCAGTTTTTTTGTTTGTTTGTTTGAGAGTAGTTAGAGTGGGCCTTGCATGCACAGAATTAGATTAATCAGTCAGTCATAGCTTCCCATTCATGACCCCTGGGCTTTCTCACCGTCCACGGACACACACAACCAGGGAACCGTAGGTGCCAGCACTGTACCTTGACATTGCTGAATTTTGGCCACTCTTGCTTCAGCTTTCCGCCTCTCTTCATCAGACTCACTTGTCCTCCCCCCTTCTTCTTCTGGGCAACTTTAAAAGACAACAGTCAAGAGAGACAACTCAAACCAAGTCCAAGTACCTTTAGGGTCATTAGAAAGACACGGGAGAGGCAATAGAATCATTCAAAGAAAAAGTCAACATAAAGAGAATTCGACATGCCCCCTGGCCAAGAGATTTGGTTTTCTTGAACATATAAAGGACCTTGCGTAATGTAACAGCCCTCAAAGCCAGCAGCATAGGGAATGGGAGTAGGGCGCCAGGTTGGGTGGGGTACAGTGGCAATGAAGGAATTTTATGTAACATCATTCAAGATCTAATGAATCAAATTACCATTAAAAATGATCACCCCCACTCTCCCACCCTCATTTATAAAAACTGCTTGTGCACAATAAGGAGGAGTAAATTGACTTAGAGCACTTAGATCCACTAATCTAAAAACGTTTATTGAATGATTCTTCAGAATTCAGTCCACAGAGAAACATAAGACATGGTCCCTGCCCTCCAGGAGCTTCCAATCTAATAAATAACATATATACATAGAAAGTGATTATAGCTACAAGGCAGTTTATGACAAGCACCAAATAAATGCTTCAGAGAGCATGTTAAAGAATTTCAGGTAAGAAAGAGCCAATGGAAGCAAAGAGGTGTTCGCGAAGGAGATGGACATGAGCTGCACCAAGATGGGTAGGGTTGCCGCAGGCAGAGGGGAGGATGGGGCTGCATGCAGGGAGGCTCAGAGGACAGAGCTGCAGATGAGGACCTATCACAGGCAGGTGCAGGGGAGCAGACCGCTCAGGCTGAGGCAAAGTTTTCATGCAAGGGAGACACAGTTAGAGCATGCTCCCCTTTAACCAGCCCACTTCCTAGCTGATGGACAGAAGGAAACGTTACCTCTCGACTGCCTGCTGGATCCGTCTCATCCAGTTATTTCGCTCCTCCTTGGAGTTGGTGTGAATCTCATACATCTCAGGGCCAGCAGAAGAAGCACTGATCAGAAACATTCCTCTCTCCTCATTAGCAACTTCTCGGGCGATAAGCTTCTGAAGGGAAATAACGGATGGCTTCTGATCCTGCGCAAAATAGGAGGACGTGCAGATGAAACAGCATCCCATCCAAAGTGAGGTCTCGCAGAGCACGTTAGCGAAGGAAAGCAACCGTGTTAGGTAAGTCTTAATATCACTTCACTCTTTTCCCAAGAGCTGAGGAAGTTGGCAAGAGCTCCATGGAACAGTTATGGTGAAGACAGGGTGGGAAGAAAAGATACAGGGAAGTGTTTGTCCTCAAGAATTGGTGGTTTAAAAGGACAACTTTTAAAGAAACTAACACGTCATTGACCAAAGAGTGTGCATAAGCCATCGCTAAGCCTCCCTGTGGAGAGGCAGAGCTTCGGATATAAATCCCAACTCCTTTAATTGCTGCAAGTAAATAAAATTACCTTGCAACAAAAAATAAAATAAAATAAAAGGACCACTTTTAAAAAGAGAGGACCATCAGAGCACTAAGAAAAAACATCAAAATGCCATAGTCAGGGGTGGATGAATTTTTCTAGAAAGGCATGGGATAGGAAATATTATATCAAATATTATGAAGAGATTGAGAGAGATAGAAGACCTAAAGAGTCCCTTGGATTTGGCAGTTAACAACAACACTGTTTCAATAAGGGGACAGATACAGAATCCCAGGTACCAAGGAGTGGAATGTAAACATGACAGGCAAGAATGAGGTAGCCAGGCTTTAGACCCCCTGGCATAACCAGTGTCTCCTGCTATCATAGGAGCAGCAACACAACTTCCACAGTTCTACCTGCAAATTTCTCTTATTTCCACCAACCAGGGGACCCTCTGGTGGGCAGGAATAGGTCTAATGCATCCTCATGTCTCACACAGTGCTTTGCATGAGCAGGCACTCACTAAATGTCTAGAACGAGATTTAGCTTCATTCTATCGGAGGGGAATAGGAAGAAAGTCTACAACTTGGCATCCAATCCATGATGAAGTCACCTCTTCTCCCAACATTTCCTGTGACCACTGTTCCCTCTAAGTCTCAGGAATTTGGAGATGAATGAGACACTGAATATAGTAATGTAGCGAGGCAGCCGTAGCTGGAAGAATAGCCAAAGGAATGCTGCTGAAGTTTTGGGGGTAAATATGAAGACTCTTACTTGGTTTGTGGCTTCCACCCCTGTTTATAGTGTAGGTCGCAATATGTGGTTTTGCTTCTCCCTCGTGGACTGAGCGACGCCTTTACCAGAACATGCTGCTCATTGCCTCACTGCTGACTCTAGTGCTGGCTTTGCTCTCCCAGCATCCACAGCCCCACCACATCTGAGGTCTGCAGACACACATCCCTGTAGGCATGGAAGGCCTCTGCCACAGAAGAGGAGGAACCGGAGCTGCCACTGTAGCCCCATGGTTACAATATATCCACTGTGATTCCACAAGGTGGCTGAGTCTATGGGTGAGCAATTCTATTTGTGATTCCACTGTGATAACAAGACCTTGCACATCTACATGGCAAGACAACCTCCTACACTCAGCATTCGGGATTTAGTGAACACATCTGCTTTTTTCCTATTCATTTTATATATTTGAGTCCTACTGCCATTTCCAGCTAAGTCCTCTTTGAAAACAATTATCTTTTAGGGGAGCTATTCCATCCTCTTGCTATTTTTCAGCTGTTTATCTTCTGGCCATTTCCAAATTCATCATGTCTTCTGTAACATGTGGCAAGCATTTACTAAAGAAGTCTGTCTAATAGTACAAGAGACAGAGAATCTCACCTGTGGGTATTAGCATGAAGATAACTTTACAAAATACTCATGTGAGAACCAGGAAATACAGATATTTGCATACTCTTAGCCAATGCATCAATTCCCTCAAGCTATTAACCATAAGATATTTATGACACATGGGCTGTGCCAACTAAATGTATATGATGCAACTAAAAAGCATCTGATTGACAGTAGGGTGCACTTGACTCTTTAAGGATAATGCTTCCTCTTTTGCTTCCTGACATCAGCAAGGGCTTAGCTGGCAGCTACATGTTAGGCTAACATCTTCAGGAAACGATATCCGCACCATCTCACTGTTGTCCATTGCCAAACACATTTTACCCAGAAGAGCTGAGTTGTGGCTGCCTTCAACCTGGCATTTGGTGGGTTGCATGGTAAATGTGGTCTATGGGTGGCACAGATAACTCTTCAAAAGGTCAGACAAGAGGGGCAAATCCATCCTTCAAGTTATACTATAAGCTAAACATCACAGCTAGTTCTCAATCCATACACTCTGCTGTTCTAGAAACAAAACCATTGTCCATATGCTGTGCCTAATTCTTTGATCCACCATCAGGTTGTCTGGCCGATAGTACCACCGAGGAGGCAGGATTTGCTTCTCCTTTCGGTCTTTGGTTTTGAGGAACCCTCGTTTCTATAAAGCAGGGATGTAAATGTGTTTTCTCGCCAACCACAGGTCAAACGGCCCGCTCATTTACTCTGCTTCCTTTCAGAGAACCCGGTAACAGCCGAGAGGGGTTGCTGGACACATCAGTAGGTGGTCATGACATTTGCAATATATATAATTCAAACAGATCAGGAAACTGGGGACGTGGTTAAGGCCTCTGGTTTTCTGCTGGTGTCGCTGTGGGAGAGCACCTCTGGACTTTATACAACTTGCACACTCTGATCAGAGACAATGTGCTGAACGGTGCAGAAGCCGATTGCCCCAACCTGACAAGCCCCGAGGGGCAGGTGAGGCACTGTCCCAGCCTCTTCCTCAGCAGGACCCCTCACTGGGCAGGCATGCTTCTTGTTTACTCTGAGCAGCATGAGCTCTGAATTTGCCAAAAACAGGTGGAAATGATGGTATCTGTTGATGATACCTGAACATCCTATCAGTCAATGGATGATAATCACTAGCGTTTTAGAGACACCATCATGCTGTCCACCTTGGTCCTGCACCTCAGATTCTTTCCTCTACCAGCGCCTGGTGCTCCATGATGCTGACAAGGAGTTAACTGATGACATCTTCCTTCTCTAAGTGAGTCATTTTGGACCACAAGATGCTGCATAAGAAATGATATAAAACTCTGGCTTTACTGCTAATCTACTCTGCTGGCAATGAGGTTAACATAGCATACTACAGAGATAACTATTATAGGAACAGCCTCCATCATAGTAACCATTATAGTAGAAATAATAGGAATCTTTAAACTGGAGATACCAGGATGGTGTTCTCTTGTTGGACAGAAGGAAAGTCATGACAGTTATGAACGGGGTTAGCAACAGTTACAGAAGACAGGCAGCAAGATACCAGAAGTGACCAACATTAACATGTGAGTTTCTGGGAAGCCAAGGGGGTGGGTATTTGGAGGAAAGACCTAGAGAACCAGATGGCAGAGGGTCACGGCAGGGGGGAGGGAGTTATGGCAGTGCCTGTTCACCAGCCAGTACCAAACTACTGTAATCTTTTCATAATTGAAGAGGTTAATGGGGGGAAACCTATGTCATAATTTCAACAATAAAGATTAAATATATATATATATATGTATATATGTGTGTGTGTGTGTGTGTGTGTGTGTGTATATATATATATATATATATATATATATATATATTCATAATTGGTTAAACTGCTGAGCCAGCTAACTACCTATCCTAGCTGTGATAACTCAACACTCATCATGCTACTTAAATCCAATTAGATGTTTGTTACTAAACACTGTAGTCATTAATTACAATGGGAATATAACAGGGGCATATTCTCACCCATGACTATATAACATCACCAGGAATGTCAGGAATTTTTCAAGGAGATGTGGGATTAAACATGCATCACATGGTCATATACTTACAACAGCTGCAAAGATGTATTTCTGGTCTTTTTCTTGTAAAAAGAGCAGCACATCAGTTAGAAGCAGCGCTAGGATATCTTCAAAGAAAAAAGCTTTGTTAGTAACAATGAAGCAAACCACAGTTCAAATGCCGACATTAAATATTTAAAAAAATAAAAAGACTTTGTCTAATTATGAAACTTTGATAAAAATGCCTGCATTATGATAGCCAACAATATTTTATAGATAACTTAACAGACAAGCTGTGTTTAGGTATGCATGTTTATGTGTGTCACTGTAAGTATTGCTAAATCTCCAGCAAATTTAATGTTGTAACTTTTACAAAGGAAGAAAAATATCCAATTAAACAAAAAGTTTTAATAGAATGGAGCAGGCTCTTTCCTTTATGGGAAAAAGGAAGTGCAAATTAAAAATGTTAAGAGGGCAGCTTCTGCCTCAAATTATATATCAAAATCTGCTATTTCGTTCCATCTAAATCCTATACTTCCCTTACAAATTGTTCACAAGAACCCATCTTCTCTATACCACTGACAGTTCTGACAGAGCTACCAAACTAATGATTCTGCAAAATGGATCAAGAGCAAATGATTGGACACTCGGGTTCTATAAACAGTGCTTACTATTTTAGTTTGGTTAATGTTCTAATTGTGGTTAATGTTTAGGTGACACAGGGCAAGTTGCTGATCAACAAATCCCATTCCGGTCATTAGTGGCAACCACCAGCGAAACTTGACAATCCTCCAATAGGACTAACAACCTCTCGGTGTTTACCTGAGAGCATTAAAAACAAGGAGAGCAGACCAGAGGTTCTTAACCAGGCTGCGCAGCAGACTCACCTGCAAGCTTTTAAACACCCTATATTTGAGCTTCACCCCCAGACCAATAAGCTCAGAATTTCTGGGAGGAGATAAGCAGTAGTAAATTTTTTAAGCTCCAGAGGCGATTCTAGCGTGTGGCCAGGGTTGAAAAAGCCTAGATCAGGCAAGATGCTAGCTACAGAATCAGCCCCTGAGAATATGAATAAACTGTTTTAGACTCAGACCAGATTAGTGGAGTCACGTTAATGCTGTTCGTACTGAGGAAGCATCTACAGCAATGTAAACGTGTCTATTTTTGCAGTATGTTACTCAGTACCGAACGTGACATTCAGAGTTCACCCTTCCCCGCCATGGCCTGCTAGTCCTGAGCTGGATGTGCAGGTGTACCACCCCACTTGAAATCACATTTGCCAGATTAACATTTCTGTGCCAACAATTAGCAGAATTCTCAGTTCCTTTGATTCAAACATCACAAAGTTGGACAATCATAAGACATACATAAGGGCTTTTGCTTAGAGCTGCAAACTGCCAACTAAAGGTTCGTAGCATTGGCCACATTGCCTATGGGTGTTCACAACTCGATCCTACAGGAATTTTCCCACTGACCCAGGGCTTGTGCCTACATTTCTGAACGATTTATCTTTTGAAAATCTGTCCTCTGTTACATGAATATCACGTGTGAAAAAAGGGAGAAATCGGTCTGGGAGTGCCACAGTACCTTTGAAACGGCCCGTAGCAGTTTTCCAAAAAACAAGGCCGTCATGTAATAGAGTTCTCTCTTTGCTGATCAGTGCCTGCTTCCTAAACACATCGCCGTTTTTGAGCTTGGTATATGTTTTGTTTTCGATCTTACTTAGGATCTCGAGCCATTTTTGGTTTTTCTCATATTCGCTGACTTTTAAATCCACTGCTGCAATCATGTCTCTTATTAGGCAAAGAGCTTTGCATAAGTCTTTATGTTCTTCCGTGTTTTCTGCGTGGGAAAAAGAAAGAAACGTGATACAATAAGCCAGAGAGCTAAGGGAGACAGTGTTTTCCTATACTTTTAAATACAGTTAAATGTATCATCCAAGCCGCTAAAGTCTCTGAACAAAAATGTTGGATTAAATTCAAATACCACATTATCACTGTGCACCCTCCTCCCAAAAGAACCGTTAAAATATTTAACTATAAAAGATTTGCGTATCAGATGTGCTTCAGCTGAAACACCGTGAAAATAGGATGTCTGGTTTCTAGAGACTGGTTTGACCTTCCTCCTAGAGCAGGGGATGTCTGATATACAAGGTGGGACAAACGTAGCCACAGTTGTGAGAATGCAAAACACAGCGTTTATTCCTGGATTATGATTTATTAATTATTTTCTATATGAACACGGTGGGGCAAAAGCACCTACAGTTGTGAGTATGCAAAACACAGCGTTTATTCTTGGATTGTTATTTATTAATTATTTTCCATCTGAATAACTGTAAACCTACTTTTGCCCCACTGTGTATACTAAGTTAGGCCTTCCTTCTACCTTCCCACACACAGGTAATCAAGTTATCCCCACGCCAAGCTTCTCAGAACTTAACCAAGCCACAGGCCCAGGTTGAAGTCCTTTCATAAATTTGAGCTTCAAGGTGCCTTGAATGGGCCTTAGACTCAATTGCTTTCTTGGATCCCTTCCTCCATAAAAATAATACTCAAAACTACATTTTACAAGTGCATTAGCAGGAAGATAAATATGTCAATAATACATATTAAACATTTTTTGAACTAAAAAAACTGGACCATGGCCCTGTGCCTAGTGGCTCATGCCAACAGAGTAGATGATCACCGAGTCTAGTTGTTATTCTTTAAAACACTGGCCACCTGATCTTATCTCTGGATTATCTTAAGCAAAGACTCTGGAGGAGTTTCTGGATCAGCCTCCTGAAACTCCAGATAAAACCGAGTGTAGCTATTTTCTATATTTGAGGATTTAAAAAACCACCTAGTTTATGTTTATTGAGGCAAAATGAACTGAAGGGGAAAGTTTCAGGAGGTTAGAAGTTGCTAAAAGATGAGAAAAAAAATTGGCAGAGAAAAATCAAAGATTCTCTAGAGCCTAGAGCAGCAGAAATAAACACGAAGGAACAGCAGTCAAGTGGGATGAGAACAAGGACTCCAAAGGGCCTAAATGTTTTGAGTTCTAAATGTGTTAGATACATGAGGATCTGTCAGAAAAGCTCAAGGAAGAGATGCAGACATTCATCTTCAACAAAGAGTCTTTCTCATTGCCCGTGAAGGGACACACCTCACTATTTTACTACGCCTACTGCCCAATAAGCAGCATACACCCTGCCCCCCACCAAAGTTCTTTCTAAAGAGCATATTTCATCATAGGAAAGTTGAGTAAAGAAAGTCAATCTTGAGTTACAAGAGGTAAGGCCAAGAAAAGGCTCCAAGTCTTGACCTTCAGGGACAAATTACTATCTTACAATAGCTTGCTATTCAAGCATAGCAGCATCAGACTCACCTGGGAGTATTGTTAGAAATGCATACGTTGGGTTCTATCTCGGACTAACTGAATCAGAATCGACATATAAGCAATCCCCAGGTGAAGGGTAACTCCTAATGAAGTTTGAGAAGCATTGCCATAATAGAGTCATGTGAACCATGTTCTCAGTAGCCAGAGAAAGAGAGAGACTGACCATTGGGAAGGTCTGACCTAAGGTGAGGAGCCATATGTCATAATTATCATGGTTGACGCACACTAGGGAATCACTATTATTCATTCTTCCAGGAATGTGGCATGGATGATTGTTGGAGCTGACTTAATACAATCTGACAAATGTTAGTCTGTGAGGTATTGTATATATGAACATAATACAAACCAAAAGTCTTGATTTTGTCTTCATTCTTTTGCTGAAAACAAAATTTATGAGGTTTTTCTCTGTATATTGTGCTTCTATTTTCTTTTATATTATTAGGATCCATAAAAATGGGACACAAGGAATAGATGCTACTCACCTAGACCCCTACTCACCTAGACCCCTTCCCAAAAAAGAATGTCAGAGTTGACTTTCTTAAAGTTGGCATATAAAATCTCATTGGTCTTACACAGTATCTTAGGACACCATTTTCATTATCTCTAAGTCAACTGATCATAATAAAGAGAATAAAAACAGCTCCCACTTATTGAGCACCTTGTTTATACCAGGCTCTGCACTGGGCACTTTCTGAGACAATCTCACTTGATCCTCACAATTCCATAAGATGAGGATTATTATTCTCACTTGGCAGTGCAGAAAACGGAGGCCCATTTAATTAGCTTGCCCAACTAATGAGCAGCAGAACCAAGTATATGCAATAGCAATGCAAGTTTACATAACTACAAACCCAGCCCATGTTAATACAACACACTAACCCCCAATAATAACAAACTCAAAATTGACAATCTAACATTTGGCACTGGCAATTTTATTTATTCATTCATTGCACTGCTATGTGTTTGTTTATTGATAGGCTACTCTTGACCAACCACTGCACGAGGCATTGAAGATCCAGCTGTGAACCAGACAGACACAGGCCTTGTAGATCCCTGCAGGAGCTTACAGTCCAGCCATGTGCATTAATAGCTCCTTAAGGGATACCCAGATGTTACTCTCTGGAACTTAATGAATTAACAGGGTCAAAAATAGCTCCTTCATAAATCATTCTCAATCTAATAATTCATTGTTTAGGAGAGTTGACATTTGTTGCTAGGGTCAATTGCATATGTTTCAACAAACAGCAGGAAGGTAGCAGGAAGATGAGGATGAAGAGGTAGTAAGAAGATCTGGATATGGAAAGACTGCAGAAGAGAAAGGCAGGGTCAAAGTTTGGGCTGCTTGGAGGACTATAGACTATTGGCCAAGCCACATTATAAAAGGTAACTTTTCAAAATAGATCCAAATCCTAAGGCTTTAACAGTTTTTTCATAATGGAAATCTTTATGAATCAGAGGCCACAAGCATTTCTAGGTCTTTACAACACCTCAGGCATGTTTCAAAGTAATGAAAGAAGCAAATGTTTGTCCCAGAAGTCATCACTCACCCTTTGTGTACTGCAATATCCTCTCCACTAACACAGGGTACTTTGTGATGCGCTGAGTGACTAGCAGGATGCATTCTGGAATTCCTCGGCGTCGAGCCAAAAGATTACTATTTCGGAGCTTAAAAAAAGACAGATATATTTTTATATTCACAAACTCTATCCATATTTTCTAAATAGATGTGAATTTAATAATACAGAGAATCTGCAACAGCATACTTCTATTCAGACACAATACAATACACATTATTAATTGAAAATTGATGCATTGTCATTAACTTGTATACTTTGTCATTAATTTCAATAATCCAGCTCTCCAAGATTTCAAGATTTAAGTTGCTCTGATGTATTTGTAATTAATTCCAAATGTGAGTAAATTCCAATACATGTAAGTGTTAAGATTCATGAACAGCAAAAGTTTTGAAAAATACTCAGAAATCAAAGTTAGAGTTTGAGTATGAGTTTGACATTAACTATATTTTCCCAACAGGGCGCCCTCTTTATGTGTTGTTATTCACCACGGAACTTTAAACTTCCCTCTAATCAGGGCAACTTTTTCTAAAAATTTCAGAGTATTCTTTAAGTTTTCAAATTCTCAAATATATGTATGTGGGAAGAAAACAAAAGGAGGAGAATCTGATAGAATTTTTTAAATGTTAGATAAAAATTTGGGATCCATGAAATGCTAAAGGACAAATTTCTTTAACAAATAAATTAGATGCAAAAAAAGGAAAGGGGAACGTTCAAATTAAAAAAAGATTAAAAAGATGTAACCCTCATATATAATTGTGAACCTTGGATAGATCCTGATTTAAGCAATTCAATTTTATGAAATAATCAGGAAATCCAAATATTAGCCAGCTGTTGAAAAATATTAAAGAATTATTGTTCATTTATCTAAGCACGATAATGTCTCTGTAATTTTTTAAAAGACTGTATTGTTTAGAGATACATATGAAGTGATGATGAGTCATGGATTTGCTTCAAGCTAATTCAGTGGGAGTGGAAGGATTCTGTCCTTATTTTTACTACGATTCTTCTGATGTTTAACTTGTCAGGGCATGAAAGAGCTTCACAGGATATTGCAAAGGTGCTCATAAGCTTAGAGGACATGACTTCACAAATAACAAGCTACAAAAGAAAATTATTTAGAAGAAATATTCTACTAACATAGAAAAAACGACTTTCCATCTTGGCCACAAACTTATTAGTACTTCCTTCTAAAAGAGCATCTAGATGTGAAACTTAGTGAGGTTACGTAAGAAATAAGCATGAACTATTTTCCCAAACTGGTCTACCACTGTATGATAGAGTTTTAAAATACTTGCCTTAATAAAATTCTGAAACTTTTTATTTTGCTGGAGTTCTTTAAATAGGCTGACAGCTTCTTTGTGATGGCTACAGAATTCTCCATATATTTTCTTCATTGTATTTGCATTTTCTTCTGAAAACTGAGAATAACAGTTCAGTGATGGTTTATAAATTGAGTCAGTTCTGAACACAAAAGGAAAAATGCAATTTTCATATATTTCAATACATTCTTTGCAAATAAAGAATAAAGATCATGGTTTCCAGAGCTCAATACTGATGAGCATATCCTATCTAATAAGGAGGGAATATGATAATTGACTGCCCCGCCCTCAAAGATGGCAGCACCCACAGCCAATAAGGAGGGAATATGCTAATTGACTGCCACGCCCTCAAAGATGGCAGCACCCACAGCCAAAAGATGGCTGGCAGGGGAGGGCAGTTGTGGGTGAGCAGGTCTGCAGGGGAGGGCAGTTGGGGGCAACTGGGCTGGCAAGGGAGGGCAGTTGGGGGCGATCGGACCAGCAGGGGAGCAGTTAGGTGTCAATCAGGCTGGCAGGGGAGTGGTTAGGGGATGATCAAGTTGGCAGGCAGAAGCGGTTAGGGACAATCAGGCAGGCAGGCAGGCGAGCGGTTGGGAGCCAGCAGTCCTGGTTGTGAGAGGGATGTCCGATCCCATAGGGATCGGGCCTAAACCGGCAGTTGGACATCCCCCAAGGGTCCCAGATTGGAGAGGGTGCAAGCTGGGCTGAGGGACACACACACACACACACACACACACACTCCAGTGCACGATTTTTGTGCACCGGGCCTCTAGTCTTAAAATAATTGCCTATTTATTAATCTATAAATAGACAATAATGTTGGAATATTCTGTTTGTCTATTAATGGGCCTGCTTCTTAGCAATATTATAAATGTTTTATAAAAGCAGCTCATTATACTCTACTGGTCTTTTCATGCATATGAACAAATAAACTATTTACACTATTAAAAAAAAGCATAAAATCATGGAACTTCTGAACACAATCACTTCTCTTTTTCAATTAAAATCGCCGAAACCGGTTTGGCTCAGTGGATAGAGCGTCGGCCTTCGGACTGAGGGGTCCCGGGTTCGATTCCGGTCAAGGGCATGTACCTGGGTTGCGGGCACATCCCCAGTGGGAGATGTGCAGGAGGCAGCTGATCGATGTTTCTCTCTCATCGATGTTTCTAACTCTCTATCTCTCTCCCTTCCTCTCTGTAAAAAATCAATAAAATATATATATATATATTTTTTTAAATAAAAGAAAGTAGTCAAGAGGTAAAGGGAAGACAGTAATCTAATATGATTATATTATACTGAACTAATTCAATTACCAAATAGCCAAATAAAAAACATTTGATATAATTTATTCTTTTTGTAGTCTTCGTGATTTCAACTTATAGTTTGAATATTTTTGTAGATTGAAGAAAGGATTATGTGGCAACATTTGGTGACCTCTCACTAGCTGGCATGTGCACTGGCTAAGGGACCGTGTCCATGGACTCAGCCCTCAGTCGGGAATTTGATTTCTGTCAGCACATCACAAATAGATCAAGAGGCAGGTAACTATTCATTGGCCAAGACAAAGGAGAAAGATGGATAACTAGGGTGCCAATTAATTAACTGATGGAGAGAAGCAGAGATGTGGGATAGGTGTTTCAATAAGCTTGACGTATAGAACAACCCCTGTCTCCCAGGCATGAACTCTGAGGCTTTCATGGTAACAGATCTGCCTCCTCCAAAACGAGCCAGTGCTTGCCTTGAAGATGTTGGTAAGACTATCACAGGCCCACTGGGGAGCCACATTATTGGAAAGCCATCACAATAAGAAGTTTAAATAGAATTTTCATAAAGGGATTTACTTGTGGCTGTGACTCCTGGTGGAGGTAGTGATAAGGCCAGTCACTGGCTTTAAGAAACTTTCAGGCATCAGTTCATATAAACTAACATCAACTAAAAGAAAAGCAATCAAAATCATCTGTCAATCAAAATGAAATTAATTCCAGTTCTCCATTGGTGTTTAATACTGTAGAGAATCTGCAAACCTTTTCCGTTTTTGAGGTTAGGACCTTTAAACCTCTCTTACCTGTTGGACTAGAATATCTCCAATTCGGTTAATGACGAAATTCCTGTCATTGTCAGCACAGGATTCCTGCCTCCGCTCCTTCATGCTATAGAAGAAATGCCTATGAATTTCAAGTAACTCATCCAAGCAGGGGAAGATTTTATCCACAGTGCTGTGGTCCAGCTGCAGCTCCTCCTTCATGCCTTTCCTGAAGATCTCAGACATGATGAAGAGGGTCTGGATGTGATGCATTTCCGTTTGCATTAGCTCTGAAACACGCAAGCAGAAACAGGCTTCTAAAACAAGAATCCCTACTGACCTAAATTAGTAGCTAAACACTATACATCACACAAATTAAAAAGAGGAAATGTTTAAAAATAACCTTCTTCCACTATAAAAGTCAGCATCAATTAAACATTAATGCAAGCTTAAATTAATCAACATTTTCTGTTTTTCCAGATATAAGAAGATAAATTCAAGTCCAATACTTAAGAATCCAATGTATCTGAAACTCTCATAACATAACCAGCTAGCGTCTTTAGGTACCTTTAGCTAGGAACTGGTCTTATTCTTCCCTGAGTCCTCTCTGAAATATAACTTAGTATGTCTCAGTTTTTCTGTTTTGTTTTGTTGTGTATGTGTGTGTTGTTGTTGTTGTTGTTGTTGTTGTTGTTGTTTGGGGGGAGGATGTTGTTTTTTGCATTGAGTAGGAGCGCAATTAATTTGGTGAATTAAATTGAATTAAATATAATAAAGTTCCTCAAAGCAGACAACAATAGATCCTTTCTATTACTAGATCAATCTCTAAAATTCCACTTTCTTTAGGGGAAAACAATGTATCATGATCAAGGAACATCATCAAGGAAGTAAAAAGATAACCCATAAAATGGGAGAAAATATTTACAAATCATATACCTGGTAAGGGACTTGTGTCCAGAATATATAGATAACTCTCACAACAACAACAATAAACACACTTCAAAAGTAGGCAAAATATTTAAATAGATATTTCTTCAAACATATACAAGTGGCCAATAATTACATCATTAGCTATCAAGGAAATGCAAATCAAAACCAAAGTGAGATACGACTACACACATACTAGGATAATCGTAATAAAAAAAGATGGACAATAAAGAAGTGTTGGTGAGGTGAGGATGTGGCTAAGTAGGAGGGGAAAATGGAGAATGACTACTAATGGGTACAGGCTTTCCTTTTGGAGCCGTGAAAATCCCATGGAATTAGATAGCAGTCGATGGTCGCACAACTTTGTGAATATACTAAAAACCATTAGGTTCACTGTAAAGGGGTGAACTTTATGGTATGTAAATTAAATCTCAACTTTAAGAATGCAACATGAGAGAAAATAATAATTCACAATTTGTAGAAGCACCAGAAGTCCTAGATTCGTTTCTCCAAACTCACATGTTTTAAGAAAGAATCTAAAATGTCAACAATAAAAATAAATTAATTAATTAAATATTAGCCATGGAGGGTAAACAAATCCAAATGTAGCTTTATTATTTTATCATCAACAAAAAATCTCTTTAATTGGGAACCCACTAACTTTACATTATTTCCTACCATGTTTCAGTGCTAAACACATAACCATATCATTTCATTTAATCCTTTAGTCTATCTATCATGATCCCAAAATAGAAATGATTTCCCTCATCTTTAAAAGACAATAAAGAAGAAAGGTGAAGGAATTTTCCCAGAATCCAAGCCTTTCTGACACAAAGGCCATGCTGTGAACTACCTTACATGATAAATTCATCCAAAATGGGTTAGGTTCTTTTTAATAATATATGAAATCAAGAGGAAAGTGAAGAAAAATTACAGTACAATACAAATTGCATGAGAAATACTGGCAGCATCTTCCTTTCCTTAGTAACTCCCACCAATGCAGCCCTGGACAGACTTCAAGCATGCTTACATAGCATTGCACCTGGCCTGCATAACCACCCAGGAGAGAAGGGGTCCTCACTTGCCAATGGACTCTCTGGGCCACACTTGCATACAGGCATGCCTTGTTTTATTGTGCTTTGCTTTATTGTGCATTTATTACAGATTGAAGGCAAGATCCTCCACCAGCAAAACAATTATGACTCACTTTATTGCGATATTTGCTTTATTGTGGTGGTCTGGCACTGACCCTGAAATATTTCCGAGGTCTGCCTGTACATGGGATCAGTGAAAACTAAGAGCTAGCCTTATCTTTCGAATAGGGTGTCTTCGTGGAACTACTATTTAGCATCTACTTTGTACTTGAAAATTTTTTAAACCTCATTTTTTCCTAACTAGTGCATAATTGAACTTCCTCTGACTCAGACTGCCTCCACCTCACATAGCATGAAATAGTAAATGTCAGCAGAGTGTAACTCCATAGGCAGGACCGTCACACCGTCACACACTGCCCTAATCCAGGTGCTGCCCCTCCCACTGCGGCTTACCTGACTGGCAACCTCTGGTGCGTGCGGGAAAATTACAGTGTCATATATATAATAGCCCTGTCCACCCTACATCAACATATGTGAAATTTTTCCGTGATTCTTATAATAGCAGAGGTAAATGTACATAGGCCATGCTTAAGTAAACTTGAAAAGGGTATAAGAAATAAAATCTGCTTTGTATCAGGTACACTCAATGCCTCATTTAATCTTCACAACATTTTAAAACTGAGTATCATTATTCCCATTTTACAGATGGAGACACTGAGGTCCAGGTGAATTAAACAATGTGTCAGAAATTAAGTAACTAGAAAATGGTAGCATTTTGCCCTAGCTGGTTTGGCTCAGTGGATAGAGCATTGGACTGCGGACTGGAAGGTCCTGGGTTCGATCCTGGTCAAGGGCACATGCTCGGGTTGCAGGCTCAATCCCCAGTAGGGGGCGTGCAGGAGGCAGCCGATCAATGATACTCTCTCATCATTGATGTTTCTGTCTCTCTTTCTCTCTCCCTTCCTCTCTGAAATCAATAAAAATATATATATAAATAAAAATCACATTGAGAAAGTTGCTTTAAAAAAAAAAGAAAATGGTAGAATTTGGATTTGAACTCAGGTCTGAATGGTTTCAAAGTCCAGGTTTTTCCCTCTATATGACATTGCTTCATCCAAGGAGCATATCTGAAAAGCTTACCAAAAATGACATCCTGTCTTTTGATGACATCCTTCTCCTGCCTACTGCAAAACGAGGGGTCCACCACAAGACTCCAAGACTCGGCTTCAAACTCCTGGGCATCACTGCTGAGGTCACTCCACAGAGAAGAATCCACGACATCTAATGTGGTTTTGGAAAAGTCAGAAGTGGAGTAACATGTGAAACACAAACAGACCTTCACAAGTACCCACGTTTATGGATTCATCACACTAAATAAACGTGCTATAAACAGAGAAACAACTAAGCCAAAATACTGTTGATATGGAGTTGAAACATCTGAAAACCAAACTGCGCTCATGAAAGCAAAGAATCAGATATTAACACAATGGTTGTGTATATACTAAAAAAAGGACATCTGAAGATTCTTTTGTTTGTTTGTTTTGGCTCGTTCTGTTTTAGTTTTAGTTTTACTTTTGGTAACCTTCAGAGTCCATGCGTGCTTACAGAATCTTAAACACAGAATCTTTTGCCCTGGGCTGTTTTGCACTATTTACTCAAATTTGAATCTTGTTCTTGTCCACTTTATTTTTTCTTTACTTGGCTTGCTGTCCTTAATATAAACATGACACATGGTGTCAGGACTCAAGTCACGTGAGCACAAGAGTTTTCTGACAGAATTTGACAACACACACACACACCCTTCCAGAAAACAAAGTGCTGTTTGTCCAAATAGCACTCCTAAAAATGATTCCAGCTCAGAGCAATAAACATGACATGACAATGAATTTAAAGTCTTAAGTTTAAAATAAAAGAAACAGATTCCTGGGGCAGAGTCCACACCTTTCTCTTGTCAGGACTCTCCTTTCATTCGGTTTTCTTTCACTTATTGACACAACTTGGATATGATAAGTAATTCCCCACATTAAGTCCTATCCTACAAAATATGCTCTTTAAAAAAATGTTTTTATTTCCTAAGAAGTGGGAGGCAACAGATGGCAATAAATATCCCAGAGTTCCAAGCAAGTCCTTTCTTAACTGATTGAAATATATCTTTTTAATCTATAATCCTATTTCAATTCTAATAATAGCTGTAAAACTTTTTAAAAGAATAACAAACACAATGTATGCCATTCTCATCATTATATTTATGACATATCTCCACTAAAAAATACATCATATTTCCTTGGTCACTCTATGAAAATCTTCTTTGGGTCTAAATTTTCTTTTTTTCCCTTTCTTTCTCTCTTTCTTTCTTACTTTCTTTTTCTTTTTTTTAGAAAAACCTATAGCAAAGAGACACCATGAAACAGAATCCTTTTAAAAAGAACAAAGAATATTTTTTCAATCTTATATCCTTCAGAAAATATTCCTTTTGGCAAATGCTCACAGAAACACCAGTACATGCAAACATCTTTTTCTCACCTTCCATTAAGAAAGAATCCGTGGAGGGGGATGAGCCCATGGACTGTAAGAGCTCATCGGAATGAGACCTGCTTCTCCAGGCGTTCCCGTCACTCTCGGACTCCAAGGATGTGCCTGGCCTCCTGCAGTGGAGGGAGGGAGAAGAGTTAGCCCAACAGCGGCTCTGAGGTGAGAAGATGTAAAACCACACGGACTTACCTGTCCAAGATGGTGCCGGGAACACTTCTGGACAATGGATGGGCCTGCCCCGCGGTGTCTTTCCTCCCGGCCGGCAATCCGATGGGCATGGAGGAAGAAGGGTGCAAGGAGAGACCAGCCAGGGGGACGTCTCTAAATGAAGAATCTGGAAATCAGAATGGATGCTTCATGTGTTTTCATAGAGGGCAGTAATTACGAGAAGTACAGGTAGTCGCTTAAAAGCCAGAAAGCTGAACACTCAATGGCCGCTTCTAGCATTTCGCATGCTCAGCCTGGAAACCAGTTCCCTCCACATCCCGACACCTGCTTCGAATGTCCCTTCCATGTCACACCCTCCTGACAGCAGGGCTGCAGGCCTGCTCCAGCACATCCACTTGGAGACTGTGGGCGGCTGGGATAACACAAACAAACAAGAAAATGGAACAGGGAAACACACCGGGGCAGCTTTCTCATAAACCACTGCTTGCACTCCCCAGAGCAGCTTCGAAGAGGCGCAACGTGTCATTAGCACTATGACTAGAACGCATAGTGTGTGTCTAAGCAAGCACACGCGCACACAGAGCCTGTCAATGGATTGGAATGATGCTGGGGAGTCTGTGTCTTTATGGTCTAAGAATTTCAGACAAATAAAAGCCAAGCTGAGCCCATGGACTGTAAAAGCTCATCGGAATGAGACCTGCTTCTCCGGGTCTCACATACTGAAAACTAAATAATGCTTCAGTGCCTTTCGAGTCAGTTCTAAAATGCTGTGGCCATAGGTGCGTTTACATTTGCTGGAAACTATCTGTAACTCCGAGAAAATATTTAGTCCTATAATATAGCTGTCACATGCACCTTCTCAAGCAAAAGGGGGATATTACAAGGAATTTGACACACGCATGATTTAATGTTAGTCTTGTGACTCCCAAGTAAAAAGAGGGAATAGATGGTATTTTATTAATTTTAAGATGCTTTTTATTTTCACGCTTAACCTTATGAAAACGAGAAGTACCTTAAGCTCAGGTCAAAGGGACTCCTGGTGTCAGAACAGCCAGTTATTTATGTCACAATTGTACTGACTGCATTAGCTCAACCTTGTGTAACATCACTCCCAATCGCATGTCACCATGAAGATGCATACCTCCTTATCCCCTAATTCAAGAGGTTTTAAAAACACGGGTCACACTTTGTTACAGCCTTGAAATGAAAAGGGACCACAAACTTAAAATGCGGATCATAGGGCAAACAACGCCATTTGAGGCAGAAAAAATTACTAATCTCTCACAACAAATCAAAGGATTTCAAACGTAAGAGATGATGGTATGGCTGGTTCTTGCATGCAATGTAAGGAACTGTCAAAGGCTGCAATTATGTTCAGGAGAAATTGTTTAAATTTCACATATAATTCAAGAAAAAATAGAACCACCAAATCTAAAAATATGCAAACGAAACTTGGATAGACCTTAACATTTCACAGCCATTCTAGAGGAGCTAAGGAGATTCCAGCCTCAAGTACAATTAAGAAAAACACCAGGTTGTTATGATAATAGAAAACAGAGAACAATAAGAACCTATAAATTCCAAACTTGAAGATTTCCCCTCCTTACCTTGTGATTCTTAAGAAGTGTGTGGTGTGTACTGGTGTAGATAAATATGTGCTACTGCTAGGAAAACATAAAATTATGTACATTTAATGTAGTGTTTCTTTTTCCCCTAAAACAGTGGTTCTCAACCTTCCTAATGCCGCGACCCTTTAATACAGTTCCTCATGTTGTGGTGACCCCCAATTTCATTGTTACAAATTGAACATAATTAAAGCATAGTGATTAATCACAAAAACAATATGTGATTATATATGTGTTTTCCGATGGTCTTAGGCGACCCCTGTGAAAGGATCATTCGACCCCCAAAGGGGTCGTGACCCACAGGTTGAGAACTGCTGCCCTAAAAGGTTATTAAATCAGTAGTGCATGTTATGCCAGATCCCATCTTAGAATTGAGGCAAAATCATAATACCTCCTCCATTTAGTCCTCCATAATATAAAAGATCATGACCTCCATGCTATACACTAATTCAGAATAACATCAAATGTAAACTGTAATTGAAATTTTTTTTAAAATCATATAGTAATGTAGTACAAAGGCTTTTAGGTTGCCATAGAAGTTTACACCATTCTTGATCTCTTTGTATGCTAGTAACTAAAAATTATGCCAAGCATTTGTTCTGAAAGAAGAAATAATTGGGCAAATTAGAAAGCAAAAGTTGGGGGTATTTTACATTGGAAAAATGTGCGGAATGTATGAAATTGGAAAAGTTCTAGTTTTCCACATCACTTACTTCCAAGGATGGTCTGTGGTTTGTTCTTGTTATATTTCTCTTGGAATTTCTGGTAAAGAACATCAGAAACACATAAAATAAGATCAAAGCACCAATGAACTACAAGAATGTCCACACAGTTAGTACACAGGATAGGATTCTTATCACATCATTTTCATTATTTCAAAGAGGAATTCAAAGCAAAAGACATTAAAGGCAGCAAAGAAAAATGTTATGATAATGAGATGCTAAGTTATAATGAATGTGTGCTTCATGAACGTGAGTCTCATGAATATCCCAGCTTTACTAAAAGCCTAGAGCAGTGGTTCTCAACCTTCCTAATGCCTCGACCCTTAAATACAGTTCCTCATGTTGTGGTGACCCCCAACCATAAAATTATTTTCGTTGCTACTTCATAACTGTAATTTTGCTACTGTTATGAATCGTAATGTAAATATCTGATATGCAGGATGTATTTTTATTGTTACAAATTGAACATAATTAAAGCATAGTGATTAATCACAAAAACAATATGTAATTATATTTGTGTTTTCTGATGGTCTTAGGCGACCCCTGTGAAAGGGTCGTTTGACCCCACAAGGGGTCGCGACCCACAGGTTGAGAACCGCTGGTCTAGAGGAACCAGAAACCGCTAGCTCATGTGTCCAGACTTGAGCTGAAAGGAGGGAGTTCCTATCAGCTATGCCTTTCTCCCACTTGTTTCTTTCTATCCTGGCTATTCCTCCTGCCTACAGGACATAACTTTGCACAATGAAACGTTGCCCTCAACTCTGTGGCCTGACACAGCGTGTGATGCAGTTAACATGGAGGTTGTGACTCCAAGTTTCCCTCTGAAAGATCATCGTGCTTTCTTACATGCATTCCTGACACGTCTTCAAAGTGGGAAGGAAAGGCATAAAATGACAGGTGCCATCTACTCAAGCCCACCCCCAAACACAGAGAACACTCTTCCCGTCCCACGAGCCTCTCAGCATAGTCCTGGAACAAGCAGCATCTCGGGAACTTGTTAGAAATGCAAATTCTCAGGCCCAACCCAGACCTACTGGGTCAGAAATTCTGGAAGTGGCGCCCAGAAACCCGTGTTTTAACAAGTCCTACAGGTGACTCTGATGGTGTTTGATGTGTGAGAATTACTGCTCTAGGCTTCATTTACATATAATCAGGGTTCACACTGGTAAACCAAGCAGGTTCCAGCAGAAAGCAGACCACCCTCACTGCCTAACACTGGTGGCCACACCGCGCTTTCCCGCTCGCTCTGAGAGCACACGGCGAAGGGAATAACCCTGCACTTGGAGCATGTGTGACTTTATCGTTGCAGTGATCATTCTAGAAATAAATCTAGACAATAAGAGAAGAGTCACAGCCTAAACAGATAATATGAAGAAACCGAGCCAGATAGAAACACACACACACACAGATGACAGCGGTTACCTTGGGACATGGAGGTGCAGCATCTTTACAACCTTTATGTACATTTGCAGTACAGCCTGTAACAAAGGGAGGAGATAGAAAGGTGTCTGTCTTATTTAAGGTTATCAGAAATGAACAGGACGACATCATGGTTTTACTGGTCATTATAAAATAGCACATTCACATTAAAAATATTTAGGGAACATAAGGGAAAAATACTAAATGATGTGGAGCCCCACCACTCAAGCACAAGCACACTGCTAATTGTTTCATTTCCATGGAGATACTGTTCTCCTTTTGCAGAGGGACTCATCCATTATGACACCTGGAGTTATGCCTGACATACACTTCTGTGTCTGCCTGAGAACCCGTTTGCTATTATCTGCCTATATTGTAAGCAATTTCTGACATCTGGCTGGTAGCAACTGCCCTCTCCCACACCAGGTAGAATGCCTATGGAAATGGAAAGAAAAAATCAACCATCACTGAGAAAAAAATATGTCATCGGCTCCGACAGGAATGCTTACTAACCAGAGGTAGCCAAACTAAAAGAGCAAAGTGAGTGGCCTGCCTGTGTTTTCCTCCAAGAAGCAATGTGGCCTCATCTCCCTGAAAGAAGTAAGGGAACACCTTGCCTGCCCCTTTCTGCCAACTGGCTCAGAGACCCAAGTCGTCCTCACAGAAAACTGCCCCTGCGTGGGGACTGCTTCCTGCCAGGCTGCTGTCTCCCTGCCCTCTCTCCCCTCCCACTCGCCAGGGCCACCCTGTCCCACCCACCCCCATGCCCTGTGTAGATGCAGGAACCTGTGGCTTATCAGAAGCTTCATGAGAAAGAATTATCCCATCCATTTAGGTCCATCAAAGCCACACTGTGCAGGAGGTTGAACCCAACCACCCTCCCACCTGTGGGTCTACAGAGGCATTTCAGCCAACACCTCAGCGGGCAGTAAGCAGGGCCCAGGCTGACCCGCAAGCTGGTCCTGCTGGCAAACATGGAAACCGGAGGCTCTCTCCTCATTCCAGAATAAGCAAATAAAAAAAGTTAAAGAAAAAAAGAAGCTGTGAGCTACCCCAGCACAAAATTATACTGAAAACAAACAGGCAGAGTGAGCCACAGAGTATTATTAAATCCAGAAAGAGAGAAATTTTTAGGTATTTTGAATGTATTCTCCCGAAGAGACATGAAATAAGACCAAATGGCCATGAAGGAGGGAGATGTGAGGGTCGCCGGCAGCAGGAGAGGAAGACGAGCTTTGTGAGATGAGACAGGACTGCGAGGAGGGAGAAGGTCGAGAGCAGAATGTGAACCGGGTGTGAAGAATCAATGTGACAGAAACATCAAAGCAGCACCTTAAAATTAAACTTGAAAGGTTTCCTCCAGAATGTGGAGAAAAAGCAGGGTATAATTATAAAATAGAAGGTGTCATACAAAAAAAGACAGATAACAGAGATCACACTTCTCCAAGGAAAAAAATCTGAAAAACTAGATCAGAAGCAATAGTCAAAGCGACAACTGACAAAAACTTCTTTTAAAGCTAACAACCCCCTCCTCACAAAAAAAAAGACAGATCAAAAGCTCTCACTGTTTCCTAGAAAAAATAATTAAATGCCACCTATTCCATAGAAACATTCTGACGACATCTGTATGATTAAAAATTGCAAAGTCCTCAAGTAGACAAAGCAGGTCACCCACAAAGGAATAAGGTCAAGCAGGCCCCAGATTTTTCTGCTACAATTTTAAATGCTCAGATAGAGTGGACCAGTGTTGACAGAGTATTGAGGTGGAAACGTTTGGCCTAAGAACTTGGCCAGATAAATTGCTTTTTGTGTGTGAAAGAAGCAAAGATACACCCTTAGATATACAAGATTTCAGAAAACAGACCACTCCAATAACCTTCTTCTTCTTAAGAAAGGTATTAAGAGCAGAATCAAAACTAAGAGTTCAGAAATAAATCAGATTTTTTTAAAGGAGCAAACTGAGCACTGGAACCATCTAAACAAAGAACCGCAGCTAAAAAATTGTTGTAAGTAGAGACACAGAGCTGAATACAAATATCAAATTAGTCTTGAAATAGAAAACTATTTCTGGAAGATTATACCCATAATATAAAAACAATAATTTAATGATGAATTAGTATACTAACAGAGGCTAGGGGTAAAAAGGGTAAATAGAAGGGAAATAAAAGAGTATGTAATTATAAGACTTTCATTATAAGCCCTAAAGTTAGTATTAATAGATAATAAAAGAGCATATCTGCTTGCCAAATCTATGAAAAAGATAAAAGCAAATGGCTAAACCAGACGTTAAGGAAAATAGCATAGAACTATAAAAGATAGCTGATAGCTGTAAATGCAAATTAGAAAAAAAAATGCTATAAAACAAGGCCTCTCCGTTACATTACAGAGCACCTATACCCAAAATGAAGATGCACACCCCAAATCAAGACCACAGAGTTAGGTAAGGGAAATACAAAGGAAAGGAAAGCAAGAGGAATGTAAACTTTAAACAAAGAAAAATTTGATGCAAAAGGCATTTAATGGCATTAGAAATTAATTTTATGTTGATGAAAGTAAAATCCGCAATGAAGGTAACATCAAAATATAAGCAGTGCAATCTATTTATAAACAAGGAAAATCTTATAAAAATACAATTTTCATGAAAAACTAACAACTCAGGCTTTAACAAAAAAAAATTACAGACACCAGGATTTTTTAAAATATATTTTTAATGATTTTAGAGAAGAAGGGAGAGGGAGAGAGAGATAGAAACATCAATGATGAGAGAGAATCATTGATCGGCTGCCTCCTGCACATCCCCTACTAGGGATGGAGCCTGCAACCCAGGCATGTGCCCTTGACCAGAATCAAACCTGGGACCCTTCAGTCTGCAGGCTGACGCTCTATCCACTGAGCCAAATCAGCTAGGGCCACCAGGATTCTCAATATTTACATCATATTTTGTTTCACATCATATTTTTAAGATTAGAAATACTAACTTTCACGATTAAAAACAAAAATACCCCAATGAAATAGGATTATTTATCAAAAACAGCAGAGATTGGACATGTCATAGTCTCTTATCCAATGTAAAAAAAACTTAATGTTAATATGAAATTTAAAACTCTAACACTCCCCTACCCCCAAAACTGTAAATCTTAAAACTTCTAAAAAACTGTGGGTTAAAAAGGAAATCAAATGTATATTCATACTGATTCTAGAATTTAATCTAAGGCAATAATCAAAGATGTGTACAGTTATATGTGCAACATTATGCTGGGAAAAACTTAAATGTACACTAAGTAAGGAATAACTTAGTACATGTGATAGCATCCTCAAATAAAACATGAGCATAACAAGCTGACTCTTTTTACTAGAAGGGACTCCATCAAAATATTAGGTAGCAATGTTCTCTAGGTGGTAAATTTTGGATAACTCCAAGCTTCTCCTTAAACCTTATATCTTCTATGAATTTTATTACATTAAAAAAATTGACTACTTTAAAAGCTGAACATATCCTATTATGTACTTTCAGCAATTTCCATCTTCCACTAAGACTTCCATGGCAACTCAGTATGAACCTACATATTCTATACTACAAAAGTTTACTTTCCAGCAAGTCCTGGCTCCCTAACCTGCATTAATTACTTCTGAGTATCTAACTCAGGGGTCCTCAAACTACGGCCCGCGGGCCACATGCAAATACAAATATTGTATTTGTTCCCGTTTTGTTTTTTTACTTCAAAATAAGATATGTGCAGTGTGCATAGGAATTTGTTCACAGTTTTTTTTTAAACTATAGTCCGGCCCTCCAACGATCTGAGGGACAGTGAACTGGCCCCCTGTTTAAAAAGTTTGAGGACCTCTGATCTAACTAGATATTATTAATTATATATTAACTACATATGAGTGTCTAAGGGCCCAGCTCAGTGATGGCTGCTGTAGGGGATACAAAAGAATTGTGTGATTATCGTCCTTAAATAACTTAAAGTCCATTTTAGTAGTTAAAAACCAAAAGAGGTTGTACATAACCCAGTATTAAAAGGAATAGAGAAAATAGGTCATAAACGTGATGTGTAAGAATTTAGGCCACAGCAGTCAGGGAAGATTTCCAAAACGAGGTGAGAAATGTGGACTGACATAGAGAAGGGGAAACTGAGAGAAGGGAGGTTATAATCATAAGTTATAATAATAAGTGAAGGAACAGAGGTGGGAAAACCCACAGGAAGGGAGAAGAGGACAGCAGGCCCGGCTCGGCCCCTGGCTGTAAGGCTGAAAGGGGAACTAACCTTGGACTGGCCAGCAGGAGGCAGAGCAGGAACCACAGGCATCAGAAGAGGTTGGGCTTAGTCCAGTAAACAAAAATGAGAGAAGTTCTTTTGTGTATGTGGGCTGATGAAAGTGGTGTTGTACAAAGACTGATGTGGTAAGTGTATTCAGAATAAATTGTACGTGAAAATACCTGGAGAGGGAAACGAGTGCAATTTGCTCTCAGCAGTCCCAAAGAGGGTGATGAGAATGTACCTGAGTGGTCCCAGGGAGACAGGAAAGGAAAGAGTGATGGGGGTATGTGGGGACTGGGGTGAGGGGGGGAGACAAAGGGGAAGAGGAGTCAAGGTGCCCAAGGTCTGAGCTTGTACCATTAGTGCAGCAAGAAGGACGACCTTTCACATGAAACCTCTGGGTGGTGATGCCCACAGCGACGGTCACCCTGAGCCAGTGTGACTGGGACAGTCTTGGTTTATTATCCCTGTAGCTCTTCCATACTCTCAAAAGTGGCCACAAACTACCTGATTGCTCAGTCTCTCTAGGCAGCTGTAAATATGGAAGTAGAAAGTGAGGGATAAAGACATTAATCTGGGAAGATTAGGTCTAGCTATCATATTTTAGAACAAATGATTGCATGACTATTAACACAGAAACAATTAGGGGAAGGAGTGGTGGTGAACAAATGCATATGAACTGAGTTTGGAGGGCCTCAGGACAAAGGAGATGACACCCGTGGTAAACAGGAGGGAAGCTACCATGGAAAAGAGAATGTTTACCTAAATGGAGGGACAATCGACAGGAGCACAGACTCTCAGACCTGACTAGAAAGCGATGCCAAGTTTCCGCCAAAAGCAGGACTTCTGTTAAATACTAAAGACAGAGGCCAAAATGCAGGTGGCTAAGGAAGAAGTGCCAGGAAAGACATCAGAGCAGTTAGTGCAGAGCACCCACTGGAGGAGTTTACCTTACAATGAGGGGAGAGAAAGACGGTGATGTGGATGGTGGATCCATCGTGGGGGTCGGCCTTGTGAACAGCGTGGACTGACACCCTAGGAAATGGGTGCCGTCACACCCACTTATAACCGACAGCTGACAGGCAGGCAAGCCAGAAACAATCCGCAGCAATACTTACAGCAAATTTCTAAAAAAATTAGCAACTTAAATCACATCTGAACTGCTTGATGCTATTTCAGATCCCATAAAAGAAAGAAATCAAGGATTTGCCAAGGAAAGCAAAGCTCAAGCCCGTGTAGAGCTGGTGTCATCAAATACTGTCAACTGTGCAGAGAAAATGGAAGCTGCCTTTCATGCCGTGTGTGGATGGTCTTTTCCTGAGATGTACAACTATCAATACAGTTTGATTCTTAATGGAATCATTTCCTAGGAATTTAAAGAGAAACTTACATGGAAACGTTCCCCTGCTCTTCTCTCTCCCTTATGCTCCCATCCCACCCCAATGCGGCCCCCTAACTCTGGCCACCAACAAATATCACAAAATGCATTTCACCTGCCTGGACCTGAATCCTTTGGCTCTGAATAATTCTTTCACTCCACAAATATTTACTAAGCTGCTATTCACAAGGCATTGGCTCTGGGCACTGTGGGTGCCATTAACGAAGAGGGTCAGCTTGAAGGTGGGCACGGGAGAGGCAGAACAGAGCTCTGTTTTGGACATGTAACATTTGAGAAGTTTCTAGACACCCAAGTGGAGACATTAAGTTGGCAGTAATATATGTAGTTTGGGTTCTGGAAGGTTATGGATAAAAAGTACTGACTCGAACCATCGTGGGTCATTCTTGTTAAAGTGCGGGAAACGAGTTAAGTCGGCTCGCGTGAATTGCGCGTACTCCGCAGGAGCCGTCTTTAACTCGGTTCATATAGATTTGCGGTGGAGTGCGGGAAACGTGTAAACTCGGGCCGATTGTAACTGCGTATTACCAAATATTTGTTTGTAATCCACCCTTTTGGTGGATGGAACAAAACCAAAAGACAGAGCCATCTTATATTTTGGCGGGAAATTCACCCGCACTCCAAGTGTTAAGTCATTAAATCGTATGTGCAGCACTAAAGCAAACGTCCATGTGAATATGCTTAGCAATGACCCTGGCCTCAGGGATCTTACTGTCTGGGGAAGCAAAGCATAAAGACACTGTGTACAAGGCCCGAGAACTTACTGGAACACTGAAACGACTCTTTCCCCAGGAGCGTTTTATCACAAACCAAACACTGTAGAACTCCAGAGGCAGTTCCAGGGACAAACTGATGTCGACTCAGCTTCTCTTTGTCTTTGGCATCCTTGCTTTTTGTCTTCAGATAGAGCAGCAGCAGCAGAAAAATGGGGGGAAATGAGAAAAATGAAATGCTGAGAGCCAACATCTTAGAGGAGTCATACAAAGTCCCTACATTTCTATCAGAATATAATGACTGTAATCAACAGGTACAATGATGCCAACATGTATTATTACCCAGAATGTAGTTGTCTTAGCATTTCTGATGACTTAGGCCAGTGGTCGGCAAACTGCGGCTCGCGAGCCACATGAGGCTCTTTGGCCCCTTGAGTGTGGCTCTTCCTAAGCCTTAGGAGTACCCTAATTAAGTTAATAACAATGTACCTACCTATATAGTTAAGTTTAAAAAATTTGGCTCTCAAGAGAAATTTCAATCGTTGTACTGTTGATATTTGGCTCCGTTGACTAATGAGTTTGCTGACCACTGACTTAGGCAATACTCCATATAAAACATACAGGTCTTCAAGTATGTGTAAAATCTGAGGTAAATGATTTTAAAGGGGGAGGGGAAACTATACTAATTGCTGAGAAACTCAGCCATCTATGTTTCTGCATGATAGGCACCAAACCTTAACTACCTTAGATTTATTCCGAGGGCTAGTCATCCGATTCATGATGAAGCTGAAAGTTCGGCTCACTTTGTACTTTTCAGAATCCGATTTGGCAGGTATGATGTATTTATCCCATTCTTCTTCCGGAATTCTACAAAAAATAATCTGTATTCATTCATGGCTTATAGGATTTAAAGAGGGAGTAAAATACAGCATATGCTTTTACACATATATATTAGTACATGTTTTATACATATATTTACACATATAGATTTGTTCAGTTTTAATTGTTATTCTAAAGATAAAGATAGAAACTATTAAAAATATATCTTATAGATGGGTAGGTAGATAGATAAAGCAACTAGCTCACAGACTAACAACTAACAATTACAGAATATAAGTGGTAGAGGTAGGTATTCAGTATATAATTCTTTCAATTTTTCTGTATACTTTACACTTTTTCATAATAAAATACTGGAGAAATAAAGGATAACTCAGACTTGTAATTTTACTCCGAAAATCATCTCTCTGTTTATTATACTAACAGAATTTTCCTCCAACACAGAGAAGCCAAAAAACCAACAATAAAAAACTGTATTTTCTGTATTTTTGGAACATAGAGATAATACTCAGCAGACAGATATTTCCTTTGTCAATACAGCCTGAGAAACAGGCTGTCTGCCTCCTGATTCTGTCTCTCCTACTCAGTCAGGCTATTTGCAACCTGAAACTCTCTAGATTACAAAGGAGAGAAAACTGTGGATACTTCCCCAAATAAGAGGCAAGCTAGAGGCAATTGTACCCAATCCATGAACACACTGAACATCATTTATTTACCTCTAATCCATAAAATCATTCTTTATGAAAAATAAGTCCCAGCTATGAAAAATGATATTTCCCCTGGAACTTTTCTCTGATAGTCTTATATTTCTAATATATAACAGAGAAAGAGAGAATATGTTAAATATCAACCTAAGTATATATCTTGTCAAACCAGATAACACTTTTGTAGACCGAGTATTTCCAAAGGGCCCTTCTCACACTTAAATATAAAATGTATTTACCTGGTACATATTAAACAAAACTTTAAGTTCTTTAACCTCTATACTAGATAATGGAGAGTTCAAACTTAGGAATGTGTGTTTTTTAAAAATAAATAAATGGCTTCAGAGCTGCCTCTTGGTCATGCAGATCCAAAGGCATAATCAGGATAGTGTCCTGCTTTTCAAATCCTGCACAGTAAGTGAAACTGGGTTTGCTACTTAGAGAGAACAGTTGAAAAAGCCAGAAAGGAAAGAGGGTGAGTAGAAGTGAATGTATCCTACAACTGCTCAGAGTAACAAAAAGGAACTCAGATCCTATTATTTCCTTTCTACTTCACAGCCACTCCCTAGATAACTGACTGATGAATATAACCTGTAAAATTCCATATCTTTTATGTCTTAAGCATCCTAATTTTCAAAACTCGTGGTATAATATTCAACAGGCTCACTTTGGGAGAAAAACACATTTGAGTCATAAAAGGTGCCACCCACTACCTAAGAGAACAGTAGTAAGCTGAGTAGACTAAATCTCAGAAGTAAAGAATGGTGAGATGTGAGGTCAATGTGGATTTTGAACTCAAGAAGTCCTCTCTTCTACTTCCCAGCAGGAACACAACTAAACTCTCTCAAATAAAAGAAAATATGTACCCAACTATATTCCAAATCACCATGCTACAGAAGAGAATATCAAGAACGACGTTTCAGTTTTGATTTAAAAAGTATACATGCACCACAATTTACCATGTATTCTACATACTTCTACAAAATTACGTAAAATTATACCACTTAACTTTTAAGCTCAAAGGCTGATAAGGCCTCAGACATGATCATGTAAACAATAATAATCTATATAACAAGTAAGTACTGTAGTGAAGAACTGAGAAGGGCAAGATCCTCAACTGATTTCACAACAGAATTTAAATAGCTTTCAATTTATAAGAATCTTGGGGGAAATAATTTAAAGTCTTTCAACATCCCAGAACAAGAATGCCTAAGCTCTATTATCAATTTGATGCCCAGTGGAATCACCCACAGTAAAGTTCTACAAGCTCCATTCTTCAGAGTCTCTTGGTATTGCCTTTTTAATTGGTAAGTAGATATTTAAAATATCTAAAGAACATCTTAATCCTAATTTATTATATCTATAACCTATTTTTGAAATTAAAACTGGGCATCTAAATGTTAAAAAGTTCTCACTATCCAAATTGAAAGTTGACACAGTGTGACTTCTTTGAACACTCAACTGCTCAAAAATTTTCTTAATAGAAAGTAACAGATGCAGTAAATTTAAGACAGCTGGTGGCAATAAAATAAGTGAGTCATGCCATACAGCGTTTAAGAAGTTAGGATAGGTAGTGTGTCAGCTCTGCAGAAATGAGCCTGCAAGGTCTGGAGTGAGCTCCCCATTTACCTGGCTGCATTCAGAAATGAAGTGATTAATATACATAAAAATGCCAGTGTAGGAGGACCCTCAAGTAAATATGTACATCATGAGCAAAGCAAACCACAGGTATGGCCAGGGCTCTTCCTGGCATATCCAACAAGATATCAGGAACAGAACAGGTGAGATAAAATATCTACTCTACTAGATACACCAGGGCAGCGATTTTCAACCAATGTGCCACCGAAATTTCTAAAACATGCAATGCTTGACTATTTAGTCAGAGACACTGACCTCTTTTCCTTTGGACTACCAAATTAAAAAAAAATGACAACAGCCAACAATATATCCATCCAGTGTGAATGAATCAAAATTTTACCAGATTGGCAAAAAATATGTTTTTCATGTGCCACAGAATTTAAGGAATCAGTTTGTGTACCAGGAGTTGGAAAAGGTTGAAAATCGCTGCACTAAGGGATATGACTGAGAAAGTCAGATGCTTTCAGGATGTGGATTAGGGGGCAATAAAGAATAGAAAGAATAAAAAACAGAATGACAGAAAATGGAAAACATTGGTTTTTCTAGCCTTAAATCCCTCCCTCTCCTAATGAAAAATAAATGTTTTATTTAAAAAATCTTGACAATCAGTCCAGTACTTCTTCAACTGTGAGAAAGATGGCAGAAGGAAGACTGCTAATCAAAATGACAACCAAGATGATGAAAAAATTCCAGAATTAATAAATTGCTCAAAAGGAGTAATAAAGTAAGCAGCTCCAAATGGCACAAACCACCAAAAAACACACCCAATAATGGTCAGTTATTCTGCTCCTGCCATCATCATCATCATTGCCATACTGCCATCTTCCTCAGCTTCCTGTTCTTAAAGGGCATTCTTAGTCTTCCTCTGGTTTTCTCAACTCAAAGCTTCTATTTTGGTCTCAAAATATAAGAATAAACAAAAGGAGGCTTTTCCTTATTAATACTTTTATTCCAAGACTTAAATCACAATAGTCTACCTTGATCTATATAGTAAAAGGTTTCAGAGTTTCAGCATTAATATCACCAAAATTAAAACCATTTTCTCTTTTTCATATATTCTCTTAATGCCAAACATTTCTGCCATTTCTGACATAACCCCAGGCTATTTCACAGTGGGGCTCACGCATGGTTAGTTACTTGAGGCCAAAAGAACTCAAAGTCTTGCCTGCTCCCTAGTCAACTTCCCAAACTCCAATTGACAGTTATTTGGGGGAGGAGGAGAGGTGCTTAGGCACAAAGCTTTCAAACCTGTATATCAATTAGAAAACTGATGATGTTTAAAGAGCTTTCAACATTACGTGTTCTTTGTTTCAAACTTAACACTCCTACACACTACTCCCTACAGACAGGTAACAGATGTTTAGGCACTTTCTATAACTGACCGCCCAGGACCTGTTGTCATAGTAAATAAAGCTTCTTGTCATGGCGGGCCTACCTAGCCAAATCCTGATGCCTTTCAATTTTCTTTCTTTTTTTAAAATAAAATAATTTTAGAGAGAGAGAGGAAAGGAGGGAGAAAGAAACATAGATTTGTTGTTCCGCTCATTTATGCATTCATTGGTTGTTTTTTTTATATGCCCTGACAGAGGATTGAACCTGCAACCTTGGCGTTCAGGATGATGCTCTAACCAAGTAAGCTAGCAGACCAGGGCCCGATGCCTTTCTAAAGCAGGTGGTCCTCACACTGCTCCCCGTGGTCCTGTATGCTATAAGTGTTTGGCTTTGACAATAACCCAATAGAATACTCTGTCCCCAGTCTGGAGGCCTGCACATCTGGGGACTGAAAGGAGCAGCTAGTCGCCTATACAGACACAAAGGAAGCCAAGGATTCAGGCAGGCCCATTGCACAGAAACTTCACAAACCATTAAACAAGTATCCAAAATGATGTGCACACATTTCCAAAGGTGGACCGAGCAGTGCCTCCGGAAATTTGGAACAGTTAAAATACCTTTTTTCTTCTGGCGGCTCTGGTAAACTGTACGCTCTTTGCTCTAAAAGACACAGAAAATAAAATGAAAACCAAGGCAGACAAGCTAGCAGTCACATGTTAGTCTGAAATGCACATACTCCACCCTATTCTGTCATTATGTACACCACCAGTTATGAGAAAATACGTCACTTTATATAAGTAGATCATTGCTCTGGGTATCTTTACCACTTTCCTAGTTTGGAGGGAATGGGGAAGAGGCCAAAACATGGCAACAGTTAACGATGCTATGAACAAAGTTAGCATCAGCAAGGGCAGCAAATGTTTTCAGAAGTGCAGAAAACCAGTTCTATCTTTTTTTTATATTTCTCACCAGAGCTTCATCCCTTATTTGTAACACTAATTTCCCAACATACAGAATCAACAGATGCCTTAGCTATTTTTTAAGCAAAGCTAAAAAGAAAGTCTTGAAGGCCAGTCTAAGAAAGAGCCCATTTGAATAGATCTGCAATGCCTTTACAAAATCTTAGCAGCAGCCAGTTCAGAGATGCGCCTTGTGGCTCATGGGGAAGGGAAGACCACCTGTCCCATTGGACTTCTGGGGGGTAGAAGGACAGGCTCATGCAAGCAGCTCAGCGCCATCTGGTTTTCGGAAGGAACTGGAGTACTTACTACAGGGATGGAGCAGAGCCACTGATTTAGACAGTGAGAGAGACTGATGGAGGGAGCGGCCACTGTGGAGCACACCATCTACAGAGCAGGGACAAATCCTTTACCATTACAATCCAGAAGCTTGAAGAGGCAAAACTAAATTGCAAAGAAGATGGGCCAGGTATGTAAGAAGGAACACTAATAAATACATATCCCTAAAATGTGTAAATATCAATGCCAAACCTTATTCTATCTTGTAGGTAACATAAAATCTTCTTTGAAGAATTGAAGACTTTATTTTATTGCTATTAAATGTTCCACAAATTAATTCCTGGGTAGAAATCAGTATCTTTATTGTAAATAGGCTGAGGTTCAAGAGGTACCAAGAGAATAAATCTTCTTATCCAAAATAATCGAGCTAATAAGGTAACAGAACCAGACTCAGCCAACTGGACAAAGTCTAAAGAGATTCCATCCATCAGTGTACAGTCATTTCCAAAAGTACATTTAGTTCACTCCTCAGATGCCTAAGTGTAGAACACTTTTGTCCATCTTGGTAAGGTTATAATTATCATCACAATATTGACAATGTCCCTTTCTATCTAAACCTATGATGTACCAAAGGGAATTATGTATAGGGTTGGATTTTATGTCTACAAGCGTTAAGTGATAAAGTTGCTGCCATTGTACTCTTGGCTCAAAAAAAAAAAAGGATGAGACATGACAATAGTAGCCCTTTGGAAGTGACAAGGAAGAGAGATCACAAATAAAAATAGAAAGGGCAAAAAGGCCATCCTATCTTTATATAACTGTATTACAGCTCATATATGGGAGTTTTTCACTGGGGCAAAAGGAGAATCGGAGTCTATTGAAATAGAGAAAATGTTTAGGACTACTCAAAACTCACTGAGATAAGATTTCTAACACCACAAATATCAATTCACCCTTGATTAAGCAAACTAAACACTGAAAATTAGAATACATCTTTGAACTGGTCACGTTTTCATACCTGTGCTTTGATCACAGTTAAAAGTATTCCTTCTTCCTTAAGAGTTAATTTATTCTTCATAATCCAATAGTTGTGGCTAAGATAAATGGTGTCAATCCAAACATTTGCCACCATACAGGAGTATCTGTTGGAATCTATACATTTAGTGTGTAGCCTTAATCTAAATTACCTGTTTGTAATTCTTAACTTTTGGAGAATAGCAAACATCGTTCAAATAGCCTTGTTTTAAAATATACTGTCTAAAGATAAGCTTTTATTCACAGAAAAACCAAAGGATGTGAGTTTTTATTCTTTCTAATTCAAATGCCAAGAGTTAAAGATTGTATGTTAGGCAGAGATACCCTTCCTTATTCATTGAAGAATTCACAAGGGAGGGCTCTTTCCCCTTATAAACAATAAATTTCCTCTTAGTCATCTGCTCAACAATTTCAAACTTGAAAGGGTCTGACTTGGAAAATCAGGGATATTTCAGATATAAAGACAAGGCTGCCATTTTGCACATTTCATAGAAGACTTAAAGGTGTTTTCCAAATAGCTATGGTATAAAGTGAATTCGTTACCTAGGACTCTGAGTGGAAAGTTATCAAGCTGCCATTAAGAGGACTCCGAACCTAAACTAAAATTAGGTAAAGCTGGAGATCTTAGAAATACTCATGTTATTAAAATAAAATTAAAAAATCCAGGACAAATTCAATCCATCTTTTCCTGTCCTCTAAAGAATAATTGTACCCCTTTCTTCTCTTAGTTCTTTTCTCTATCTTCCCATTCCAAAAATTAACATGGACAACATATGAGTAGTCTTGCTTTCTCCTCTTCCAAAAGACTTCCCAGAAAGGGCGACAGCGGTTGGGGGGGTGGGAGTGGAAGGGGGGCCGCGCAGGGGACACACCTAGTAACACTTGTGTTGTATTTGAAGTATCTTGACTACCATATTTGTTCAACAAATATTTATTGAATATCTTCCATACCTAAGGCCGTGTTTAGGATGGGAGCTCCAAGCACAAAGATTATGCTTACAATACTATTCTACATAGCATAAAATGCAAAATAGCAATGTAATAAAGAATTTTAAAAGGAAAGAAAAGGTGTAAAACAAATCCTATTTTAAATATTCTACACTGAGAAGTTGAGAGTACTTAAGCACATCTCTTGTTTTCTGAATCTTTTAAGATTCTTAAGGATAACCCAAAAAAGCATTATCTAATACATTGACAAAAATTTTATTATAATGCTATATATTACAGAGTAGCATGAACACTTCCAAATATGTCTTGAAATGCAATTTTTACATAATATATTATGTACAGAAGTATGAAATAATTACATTTCAAAATCAAGTTGAAAAGGGGCACAGTCACTGAGAGGTGCTACCAGGGCAGCTCTGAGTTACCTGTAATTGCTCTATTTCTTTATCTGAATTCACTTTTAAAAGTTCATCAAACTATATGCTTATAATTTACACCCTTTTCTATAGGTATACTATATTTAAATTAAAATGTCATTGCATAAAAGTTACATTTCTGAATGCTTACATTGCCACACAAAACCTTGAGATACATTTACTCATGTTTCAAATATGTTCTCTTATTTCATTTCCCTAAAATCCCTTGCTAAATAATGAAAGAAAATCTATTTTGTAATGGTTTGCCTCTGAGGAGTTAGATTATTTCAGCAATTTATATATAGAGGAAGAGTAATTTTTATACTTTACTTAAATAAAATCCTCGAAAGCCCTCACAATAATGAACCTAGAATAAATTATAGTTTACACAATTTGAGGACTACATTTTATTCAAAGAATCAACAGAGATATGTGTACAAATTTTTAATTTCATCAAAATCGGATCTTTAACTTCTCTATCTAATGAAAAAAAGACTTTGCTAAACTTAGAAAAATCAATTGTAAAAATAAACTCTTGCCTGCTGCCCTTGAATATTTTATGTACTTTTACTAAAACTCTGCCCTGGAATAGAATGCTTTCGAAGACGCGTGGTAAGTGGTGCTCACCTTCACTTGCATTGCACACTGTAAAATCACGCACCAACCGAGATTTTCCTAAAGAAATTTTGGGTGATGAGCAGGAATAAGAACGTGAGCGGACTCCAGAAAGTAGTGATTCCTAAAAGAGATCATAATAAAGTTTTTTAAAAATGCTACACAGGTCTTGAAAGTATATGTTCACCATGAGTGTTACTAAATCAGCATCTTTGTAAAGGTTTCAACCTGAATATTTCTGTTGTAATCTTTTTTTTCCAATTTAAATTATATATATATATATATATATATATATATATATATATATTTCTTTATTGGTTAAGGTATTATATATGTGTCCTTATCGCCCCATTCCCCCCCACCACCCTCCCACTCATGCCCTCACCCCCCTGGTGTCTGTGTCCATTGGTTAGGCTTATATGCATGCATACAAGTCCTTTGGTTGATCTCTCCCCCTTTGTTCTCTGTCTCTGGATCTGTTTTTATAATCTTATTGTTTCTGTTTGACTCTCATAACTTTTAAATTTTTATTGTCTCTTTGAAGCTTGGGGAATAGTTCCTATATATACTTTAGGATGCAATTATGACATTCCAAGTTAGTTAAAAGTGAAAAATTAAGTCAAAGGACTTTTCTCTATATATTTAACGAGTTTGACTTTTGTTCACCTGAATTGCCAGTTATTTTTCTTTTCCACTGTAGCATTCAATCAAAATTCTATATTAATATTTATCTCTATGCTTAACAAGAGATAAGAAGGTAGAGGGATAGCCACTTATAATAGGAGGGGTTTAAAAAACTTCCAAATAGCTGTTTAAGTTTATAATGTTACTATAAAAATCTTCCTAGGCTGTGCTTACCTTGTAATAGATTTCCACCCAGCACTTCCTGGGATGATGTTTGAATTTCACTGATTTATGTATCTTTATTCCTTTTAAATGACCTGTCATTTTGTTATCCCAATTACATACAATTTCTGTTACAACATTAATGTATGGAAAATGCAAGATGGCAAGATAATAAAACATGGTTTCTTACATATTCTAGAAAATTTAAATGAATATGCAATAGAACACCACTAAAGCCATCTATGGAACCCAACTCCCATCCACCAGAGAGAGGCCTAGTAGCCTTAGGATCCATCCCACCCATCCATTTGTAAGATAGCACTTAAAATTAGGGCTGAATAAAGTAATGCACAATTTACTACTAAAACTGAGCCATCAGCAACTGTCCTTCCCAGTTCTCTTTTGTTCTTCCTAAGTGAAAACGCATGGTTTTTCTAAGTTCTTCCATATAAAGAGCCTGGGGCAATGTTGAAAATAGATGTCTGATCCTGCTTCAAGGGGCCTTGAGCTGTGGCCCCCTGGCTGACTTATTAGGGAGAGCCTTCTGGGATTGAATGTCAGGAAAGCCAGTCCAAGCTTTTCTATAACCCTAACAGTGAGCTTGCCACAGAGGGCCCTCGCCCAACGCCATCCTCTGCACTAAAGTCATAGATGGTTGTCATTTTTTATAATAATGGGACTTGGAGAATTACCCAAAAGCCTCAGGTAAAAGGTAACATAAGGTAATTTCAGAGGCAAGGCTAGCTATACTTTAAAGCAGGGGTCACCAACCTTTCGGACCTCACGGACCACCGGTTGGCGACCACTGCTTTAATGGACATATTCTTCTTCAAAGTGGACAACACTGAACTGCTTCACAAAGATGAAATTACTTTTCATCCCAAATAATGATGAGTGTTTCACAATTCCATCCAAAATGCAAAACTAAGAAGGATCTCCATCGACAAGCATACTCATTTCTGACTATCCAGAAATATCACATGATCTTTGGATTCAAAAGATTCTGACAGTTCTACAGGCTTCAGAGCTGAGGGAGGGGACTCAGGCCTGGATTTGAGTTCTGACTATTCGCCATCATGGGTAACCAAGACAAGACATCTCACCGCTGCAGAACCTCATCTGCTCAACAATTACAATAAACCTCTTATGTCTGAGGGGAGTTGTGATAAAACTAGATGTTGTGCATACATAAAACATGTTTGTATATTGTACACTCTACTATAAACATAAAGTGTTATCATAACAGCCATGTGTTCATGGTAAAGAGTCGTTTGGACATAGCACACATTATTTTATAGTAGAAAACTCAATTTAAGAAGAAAAAAATGAATAATAATACAAATCAAACAGGAAGAAAGCATATCCAAATACAAAAGGGCTTTCGCTGCAAGACAGCACGGGTATACAATACAGATGATGTGTTGTAGAATTGTATACCTGACACCTGTATAATTTAATTAATGCCATCTCAATAAACTCAATTTAAGAAAAGAAAACGAAAAAGAAATAAAAAACAACCACAACAAAATGAAATCCCATGTGAAAGTGCCAATGAGAGAAAATCTGTCTCCTATGGAAAAATTGACAAAGTTTATGGGATTCCAGATTCGCTCGTGCAGCAGGAATGCTAAACAAACATCATCTGCCTTAGTAACATGATTTACCTCATCCCCCAGGCCAAGCAAAAGTTTATGTGAGCAAAACAAGTTTGATCAGAAACCCACTGAATACTACCAGTTTTTCTCCCTTTGCTTAAGAGATGATAGTAGGAATTATTATGGACAATGGTAAAATATTCCAAGTATGTGAAAGGTTATATGTACTAGTGTTGAACTGATGAAAACAAATCGTCCCTTGTAAGTAAGGACCATACAGATTAGAGTGGGAAAGATGAAAAAGACAGGCTCAATCAGCCAGCGCATGAGGCCTCCAAAAAAAAAAGTTTACACGTGTGAATAAAACATCATTTGTCTTTCAGAGATGGATAGATTTAGACAACACATTTTCCCCGCTTAGAATAAGCCACATTAATACCAATCAGAATACCTTTGACTGAAGGTTACTTGATAGAGAAAGTGACTCAGTCCTGGAGATGTTAAAATCTGGTTCAGTGTTGGTCTCAAAAGAGTCTAATTCATCCCCACTGGGAATCCCGGTTCTGGAGGAACCCTGCGACTCGGGCGTGTAGCACAGGTGTGCCTGCTCCGCAGGCCCTTCCCCCTCACTGTCTGCATCCAGGGCATCGAGGCTGGAACTGGAGCACAAGGTAAGCAAATAAGTTAAAAACCCAGGAAGCCAACAGAGTTGGTTTCTATTTCTCTGAATTCAAATTCTTCACTGGTATAAAGTATAATGGTTACGCATTTAATTTCTTCTTTTTTTTTTTTTACTTTTATTTATTGATTTGAGAGAAAGAGAGAGAATAAGAAACACTGATTTGTTGTTCCACTTAGTTATGCATTCTTGGCTGATTCTCGTATCTGTCCTGACCAGGGACCCAATCCACAACCTTGGCGTATTGAGACAATGCTCCAACCAACTGAGCTACCCGGCTAGGGCCAATTTCTAATAAAATTTATATTTAAGTAGTTTTTATTGTTTTTCTTCCCCCAAATATCTTCATTTTCAACAAAACGCTGCTTCCCCACGTGAACATTTCTACCTAGCTAAAGCCATGTCAGGACTCTAAGAAACAAAAGCTGGTTCAAGTTAGTGTTATCCAATTTCTGTTTTGTAAATGTGATTACGGCAAGTCCCAAATAGTTACCCTTCACATATTAAAAATGCAGACAAAACAGAGCCACTGGGCTGTTTGGGGGGCGGCTCTGGGGGATCTGCATGTGAGCATATGCTGAGTGGCGTTCTGTGTCCCCGGGCCGGAGAGCTCAGGGGGCGGAGGCACCGGGAAGGAGAGATGTGCAAAGGTCTCACCCAGAGTTGCTGTCACGACCCGGGTCAGGCAGGAACCCAGGGAGGTCCCAAATGTGTCATATTCAATTATCATGTTTAGAAACGTTTAAAAATCATCCCATGAAAATCCATCCCAGAAGCAGGTAGTAACTCCGCTGAACTATAAAGCTTTTCTCTCCTCGTGTAACTGTGATAACCATGGAATTTAAAGGAAAGAATGTGACCTTCCACATTCCTGGCTCATTCCTTAACATTCACATTTTAAACCAAACTCTGAGGTCAACAGCTTTTACTGGCATGTTCACGGCACGGTGAATTTTTAAAATTAAATTTACCAGGGTAACATTGGTTCATAACATTATATAAATTTCAGGTGTACAATTTATAAAACAACATCTGTAAACTCCATTGTTTGCTCACACCCAAAGCCTCATCTCCTCCCGGCACCATAGATTTGATCCCCTGTACCCTCTTTGTCCTCCCCTGACCCCCATCCTTCCTGGTAACTACTATTCTGTTGTCTGTATATAAAACAAAAAGCAACAAAAGAAAAAACAAACAGTGCATTTTTTTAATGTATTTTTCTTTGGTTGTTACAGTTCTGAAGATAAAATTTAAGAACAATATAATGAAACCATCTTGATTATGAAATATAACTAGAAAATAAACTTTGAATAACTCATTTGGGTTACTTTTCTTAAAAAAAAAAAACATAGGCTATTTAATAGCCACTGAATATCAACTTAATAAATTACATGACACATGGTCCTATATGTGTTTCTAGTCCAAACACTAAGATCAGTCTCTGGTCCTTGAACTTTTTCATGGGCCCTACTGGGCACCGGCAAACCTGTAAGTAAGCAAAGGCCAGGCCTGGCACCACTGAGGTTTCAAAAGTGGAATTTTCTCCTTAAAGAACACATTGAGGCCCTTCACCTTGGCACTGAGAAAGGAAAGATAAATTGGAGGTGGACTTCACACTTTTAATTCAGCACTAAAATATGTTGGAGTACATAAAATTATTTATCGCTCTGGCCAGTGCTGCACAGTGGTTAGAGCAGTGGCCCATACATCGAAGGGTCTCAGATTTGATTCTGGATCAAGGACACGTACCTGGGTTGTGGTTTGCTCCCATCCTTGATCAGGCATGTGCAGGAGGCAACCAATCAATGTATCTCTCTCACATCAATGTTTCTCTCTCTCCCTCCCTTCCATTCTGTGAAAAGCAATGGAAAAAACATATCCCTCAGGTGAGGATTAACAACAAAAATATGTATTTCTCATAAAAAACTAAAGCTTGGTGTTAAGAAAAACCTCCCAGTAAATGTCAGTGCTCTGAATGTTATAGTGATGTAATTACGGTGCTGTGGTGTGTAGTTTCCTTAATTCAATGATCACCTGAGGGTAGAAAGAGATCTGGGGGTGGGGTGGGAGGTCAAAGGTTTGCTGATATCTTGTGCCTCTGTGTTTGTCTTCCAACTTGTGATCTCTATACTAATGAAAATTAGTTCAAATAGTCAGCTGCCTGCAAGAATATCCTATTTTAGTACAAGCCTTTCCAGGTATATACAGCATTTCTCCATCACTATGAATAAATCTTAGAAGGATTAGGGAGTATTATTTTATTTTGCATACTACACTTGAAAACCGTTCGTTTCCTCTTCATCTAAATTGGGTTACAGTTTTTCTTTGTTAAGTTATTAATCTAAGATATTCAATATTATAGACATTATTTTTCAGAATTACCTCTAGGTTCTCATTTTATAATACCATTTTTCAAAATCCCATTAGTGGGCTATGAAATTGATTCAGTAGGTTGTGACCAGAATTTTCTTTTAAAATAGTATAGAGTAAAAAATATCAGAATACATTCCACATGTTATTTCATAAAACATTTAAACTTTATGTGAATGGGGGGGGGGGGGACTCATGGTGTGACAAGCATTTCTTACTGTGGAAAAACAAGACACAAAAATGGTTTTAAAGATATACTTTAGAACAGAACAAAACTTGTCTTCTATCAACTAATTTTTTGCTGTAAAGTTTGTTAAAATAAGTGTTGCATTGCTTATTTCCCCCTTGTAACTTCTTAAAATACCTATTAATTTTAAATAACATAATGGTTACATATTATGCATACAATTTTACTTTCACCAAAATATTGTTTTAAACTTTAGAAAACTTGGGTCCCAGCCAGCTTTGTCCCTGTGTTAACCTCAGTTTTTATTGTGTGCCCCCAAATTTCTCCTCCTTGCCTCTCAGCCTATGATTCGCTTATTTTTAAAAAGGGGTATAGTTCACTTCAAGTTCATTATCATTTGTATTACACACCCCCACCATGACACCAGTGAGGGGGGTCCCATGGCCATCCCAGGGTCAAAATGGGGCTTGCTGGGGATCACAAGTCCTTTCTTCTCATTCCTACATTTTCCAGAGACAGAATGTGCAGGAGACATTGTCCGCAACACTAGCTGGAAGGTTTTTCTCTCAGTACATCTTCCTCTCCTTGTCTGCCACCCTCTCCCACCACCCCCCATCAGCTGTGACATTTTTACCGAGGTTTCTAATTGCCTTTTTTCAAACTGGATAATTTTTTCTTATATTTTAAGGTGGCAAAATTCTAGCTGCCGCAGCGAGATGTTTAAACATACCAGAACAGGACCATCATCAGAAAATGTTTGCATAAGCAGAACAAGAGACCACGTGCACCCTTCCCTGCCTCTATTCCTAAAGAGCTCATTCACTTCTAGAGACTGGATCACAAGCTGGACAGATCCCGAGGATTCCACGAGAACGCACTGATAACACACAGTTCAATCTGTGCTTGCAGAACTGTATAGACACTTGCTTTGACTGACCGCCTCTTGTTGCAAACAGATATGTGGAGAACCCAAAGTGTCCCATCAACTTAATTTACAGCCATGACCACTCGGCATCTTTTAAACTATAATTCCAAAAAATACGAATCTAAAGAAAATCATTATTTATGTATCAGACATTACCCTTGGTACCAACACCTGTTTATAGTGTTCCAACCGCAAGTGCTCGTATATCCGTGTAAAGTACAGCACAGGGGTTGGCACCTGGAGATTGCTGCTTCTCCTCCCTCGCTCTTCTTTCTGACCAATTAAATCTCTGCTGGACACTTATCTACCTATGTGGATGCTCATTCGTAGATAAATAATTACATACACACTCACGTGTGTGTATTCTACATTCAGATTTTATGTGTGAAAATGAGCATACAATCAGAGGCCTTGGGCCTGGGGAAGAGAAATAAGCTATTATCTAAGGAAAGTGAACAGCAGAATAAAATGAAATTAACAGAAATTGGTCTATTTCCTAAAGAAAATAGACAATGAATGGATGGACAAGAAACAGATGCAAAAATACAAACATACATGTGTACACACACATGTAAATATGTACTATCATATCAAAACTGTTGTTTTAATACTTTTGCACAAATAACACTTTTGTATTTCAAATAAATATTTTGAAAATATGTGCAAGATTACAGAGCATAAAAATAAAACACCTATGATCCCACCCAACTTGAAACGTGAACATTGGCCATACCATTGAACCCTTTTTATTCCTTTCCATTCTCATTCCCTACTTTCCCCACTGGATGTAATAACTATCTTGAATTTGGGGATTTTTCCCCCTCTTTGTTATCTTGTTTGTCTGTTTTTTAATAGCTTAAGCACTAAGTATTGGCCCTATAATAATAAATTGTTTGATTTTGTTTTGGCTTGCATTTTATAAAAACGACATCTAACTGAAGTACTTTGTCCCTTACTTTTTGTTGAACTTTGTGTTTCTGTGATGCATGTCATGTATGTAGCTGTAGTTCATTTTTCCTACTGTATAGCACTCCTTTGTGTAACTATACTGTAATTTATCTACTCATTCCCCATTTGGGTTATTTTCTGCTCTATAAGTACTCATCCACATGTCTCTTAAAACACAGAAGTAAAACTGCTGGGTGATAAAATGCATATCCAAATTAGTTTCCAAAGTTTTTAGACAATTTTCACTTCTATCAACATAAATGGGAGTTTCCATTATATGCATTTTCATTAAAATATGAAAATATTGCCAAAGTTATGGGTTTCTTCTATTTTGTTTTTTTGCCAGTTTCCTTAACTGTCTTACTTTCAAATCAAGGAATATAGAAACCAAAAAGGGGCAACATTTTTATGTAGAGACAAAAATGGTAGGAACAATAGAAAATAAAATAGAATTTTCCAATTTCCGCTATAAGGTTCTTTGATTTTCTATATTTCCCTCTAAAATAGAGTACCTTACCTTCTTTTCTTTAGATGACTTTGTTCCTTTTCAAATCCATGAAGACCAAAAGAAAGATTTAAGTTGGAAGCACATGAACTAGATGGCGATGTGAAGGACTGTTGGGCCTCAGTGTTTGATGTCACTTCCTTGTTCTCATCGAGCGGGTGCCCGCCAGGGCTGGTTTCGGTAGAAAGGATATGCTTGCCGCTCTGAGGTGTCAGAGTAGAATCCATGGACTCAGGGCAGGTGTGTGTAGTGACTCCCTCTAGGTTTATATAGTTAATATCCAAATCACCAACCTGGTAGACAAAAGAAAAGTATTCCCTAAGCAAAAGCAGGACAGATAGGCTTAGTTAAGAATAAATTTCTCCCAATTTAAAAACCTTCCACTTTACTTATCTTGTCTTACTTGTTCTTGTTTTGTTTCATATAAGCAGAAAATTCTTTCATGATGTTTTTGTTCACCTGGTTGCTATCCCATAATTCACAAAAGGAAAAAGACCAACTGAGCATTTTACGATTTTATGAACCACTCAAAATGAGAGGAAATGCTTTAAATACTCAAGAAAAACAACTAAGGAGCAGGCAGCTTGACTTAAAAAGCAGTTTATAGGAATTTGAGTAAACAAGGTAGTGGTGGTCACATAAAACACTACCAAACAGAAATACAAATAAAACTATAGAAGATGCATGGACTTAGCATAGCTAGAAAATAGAAAATGCCCTGAAATTCAAATTACATGGAAATAGTGAAATAAACACCGAATCTCAGCAAGCAACCTGTCGTACCCTTACCATAAACCTTTGCAGAAAGGACAGTCTGCAAAAATCTGCATGGCAGAGAGACCAGGGAGGTGGCCCCTAACAATTATCATGGGAAGAGAAAGTCTACAGGTGAAAAAGAGTCCCAGTTGATCAAAGCACCTGTCTAAGAAAGGGGCTTAAAGACACAGGCGATCTGAGGCATCACTCATCAAAAGGCATCACTTCTGGGGGAGAAAACAGTAAAAAGAAAGAGAATGACACTATTTACATATAGAGTGGTGAAGGGGAAATGAAGCAAAAGGGGGAAATTTAGGGTCCTAAATCAACCATCAAATTGATAATTTACTAAGGCAAAAACAATCGCACAATGCTCAAACTGATGGGTGCAAGTCAAATGAATAACAGGATATTTGCAATGACTCAAACTGTCTCCCACAAGATACTTAATTTTTTTAAAATAATGACTTTATTGAAAATAAATTTGGTAGACCAAAGATAACATCATCAGTAAAATTATCAATGTCATAAAAGTTGACTAAGGAATTGTCCCAGATTAAAGGAGACTAAAAACACATGACAACTCATTACAACTCATGTAGGTGAATTTACTTTTGCTACAGAGGACTTTGAGACAACTGGCTAACATTGAATAAGATTGGTACACTGCTAACAGTACTGTAGAGATGATGGTTCCCTGGTTTTGATAACTACATGTGCGTATGTAAGAGAATGCCCACGTTTTTAAGAAAATGCACCACAAAAGATTGAGGGATACTATATTTTCAATTTGCTCTCAACTAGTTAAAAAATATTTATATGTCTTAAGCATTTGCATACACACAGCACATACTCAGAGGATAATAAAGTAAAATATTAACATTTGAGGAGTTCTGATAAAGAGGATACAGGGATTCTTTGTACTGAATTAAGCAGGCTTGAAATGATGTCCAAATACAATGCTGTTGTTTTCAAAGTAGTCTATATGACAGAGTAATTTTCAAAGTAGCTTTATCATGTGAATTGCCTCATCAGATAGGTTGGTAACCTTGAGAATTTACAGGAAACAGCATTGCAAACAAGCTAGCAATCTTTTTAGGTTTCTGTGCCATGTTGAGGGGATGAAGGAAATAGATAAAGATTTTCTTCTAGATATTGCTAGAAATTGTTTTAAAAATGCAGAATTTGGACTCTCTGTTCTTGTTATTCAAATGGACATAGGGACAGTGAGATAAATGATATGTTAACTATGCCACACTGACATAGAGTACTTTGTGATTTGTATCCAGGTTTTTAGTTTCATTTCTGTTTTCACTGCATGCATTTGGCGATCCTCTGCTATGTTTCAGTTTATCAATTAGCCTGCTTGAGTTCTCTTCAAGTGTATGCTTCACATTACTAGAGCAATACTTCTCTCACTCAAAACAATCCCAAACAATCACATCATAACTTCATGTTCAGTGTATTTTTAATGTATCTTAGAACAAATAAAGACACGGTTCTCTCCTCCTAATAGCGAGTCGTACAATTTTAGTTACTTGAGGTAAGTGAAAATGTTCAGTGTTCACTGAGGCTTAGAACAACCAAAAAAATTAAGAACTCAAGAAGCATTTCATGCAAATGCTTAGGAAATAAGGCAACAGAATAAAAGCAGCAAAATCAGAACGTGGCTAGAGCACACCAAGTCCAGTTAGCCTGTATCTTCAAAGAATGTCCCCAGGACTCCCACTTTGTCCTAAACTCTGTGCTTCATTCTAGATTTCATAAATAGGAACACATTCAGCTGCTTTATACCAAAACATATACCAGTTTTCATAGCCTGATGTCCATGTCCTGATGTTCATATCTTAGTCATTTTGAATATCATCCCACCCTATGCATTTATACAATGCATTTGAGGTAACAGTGTTTTATAACACAAAAAGAAAAAAGCAGAGATATTTGACTAGGAAATGAAATTGAGATCTAGTATACAGGAAAAAATGTTTATATCACAGAAAACATCTATAAGTAATAAGGTATAATATATGCACACTGACAACAAAAAGAGTAAAATACCATATTGCTCAAGGAGCATATATATGGTGCATTTATATGGGAATTAGGCTTTAAAGTTAGTGGATAAAACAGAAATTATGTTGTCAAAATTACCCTTGAATCCCTTAAATCTACCATAAATTAGAGCAGCGGTTCTCAACCTGTGGGTCGCGACCACTTTGGGGATCGAACGACCCTTTTACAGGGGTCGCCTAAGACCACCGGAAAACACATATATAATTACATATTGTTTTTGTGATTAATCACTATGCTTTAATTATGTTCAATTTGTAACAATGAAATTGGGGGTCACCACAACATGAGGAACTGTATTAAAGGGTCGCAGCATTAGGAAGGTTGAGAACCACTGAATTAGAGTGTGCAGAAATCTTCTGATCGATAACTATATTGGGGGATGGGAGAGGGGAGGGTCAATGGAGGGAAGGGGGACATCCATAATACTTTTAACAATAAAGATAAATTTTTAAAATTAAATTTTTTAAATCAAGGGTGACTGAGCTTCAGAAAAGAATGAAGGATAAATCCATATGTAGATGCACAAACCACTTGCCTTCATGAGCTTTAACTCACAAATCTCTATCAGGGAATGGGCGGGGAGCCCTGAAGGGTTCCAGCTTCCCTGTAACACGACACCATTCTGCTTTAATATTAAAGCTCTACAACCTTATTACATGTTAATAGGTGTGTCGTAAGGATTAAACAAGTAATTTATATGACAGCATCCTATGGGGCTGGCGTCCAGCTCTTGCTCACCCAGCTCCTGCTGGCTTTGAATACAAATACTGCAAGATCAAATCACACACACCTTGTTTTCTGACAAGCTGTAGAGAAGAAACTGGCCTCGCAATTGTCATTTCCTATTTTGGCCCCAATAGAAGAGCTCTCACACTCCTCTCTTTGGGCAGTGTCAAAGGCCCCTCCCTGGTGGTGCGCCTTGTGTAAGATGTGCTGTGCTGAAGGAAGGACCTCAGTTAAATGCTCACATGATGAGACTCCACTATAGCATCACCAGGGCTGCACTTAGGCTAAAACTCCCAGAGGAACACAGCAATGCTGAATCTATTTCTCACATGCTCGGGCTTAGAAAGAGGGCAGATCCACCTTGGAACATCAGTCACACCTTACCTGATCTATCACCATACAGTTAGCATAGACTTCATCGCCACCGTTCAGCATGTCAGAAAGCCCACCGGCAGCGTGGAACTTGGGGGGCTGCTTGGATTTTTTGAGGACATCACAGGAGCGATCTAGAGGAGAAGTGAACACAGGAGAAATAAAGTGGAGGAATTTATTTTACATTCAACCTTTACCTTCTTAATTGAACTGTAAGAAAAAACAATCAAGATTATATTTTTTAAAGATGGCACTTTGCTATCTCCACTTATACAGAACTACCTGCAAGTATTTTGTTTTCTACATCCAAACCTTCTCAGTATCTAAAACCGTCCTAAAGAATGCATCGTTCTAGATAAGTATGTGCCCATTTCAAGCACTAGTTTTCTAATCATGAGAGATTTTCATAAAATCGATGAGACTTTTGCTTTCAATTTCTAACAGATTAAACTAAAATTCACTTTATGAATCACTTGGAAGCATCAGTGATTGCACTGTGACCCTCAGGTGCCACTGAGGTGTTCAGGCTCCAGACCCTTTACTAAAGGACCCGCGATAGCACGCAGCCTCGCAGTTCTGGCTCTGGACTGCCTGCTGAATATGCATACTCTCACAGACACAGCTTTGCTTCCATTTCAGTTACAGAAATGTTTTTGCTTGCTTCTATGTCCTCAGATTTGTTCCAAATAGATGAGGTTGCTCAAAGAGGTTTCCCAGAGAGTTGAGGTGTTACTGTATTTGTAGGGAACAAAAGTTGAAGGCAATAAACCATAGAGAAGCCAGAATGCTTTATTTCTTGTGTCTTTGGCTAAATTGCCTAAACTCCAGATACTTTTACAGGGCTTCCTCATCTGTAAAAGTGGATTATTATTATTCTTCCTCATTGTATAGTTATGAGGATTAAATTAGTTCAAACATGTAAAGCACTTAACACATGCCTACGTACTTAGTAAGTGCTCGATAAACATTGTCACTATCATTATACTTTGTTAGTAGTGGTTTTAACCATGTTCAATGTGAGGTACAAGGCCATTAGTGAGGTACAGGCCATTAATACTAATCATGGTATGTTATAATAAATTATCAATAGTTGTACATTAATTTAATAGGATAGATTCAAAGTTATATCCATAGCAAATGACGTCCTCACTGACATTCCACTGAGTTTTTTTGCATGAATACAGAAGGAATCATGTTGCCTTTATTCCATCAGAAATGGCACTTATTCCATGTCATAGTACGTATATGACATGTCTTGCCTATGTCATAGCATAAAACCTAAGTAAACCCATGGAACTGAATCAGAAAAATTTTAAAAATATTAATAACTGTTGGGCTGATGAACTAGGAATAAAAAATTCTATTCTTTCATAGAAGGTCCCAGATGAAATTACAGAAGTTATAAAGATATATGGATTGTATGAGCCAAGTAGCCTTGGCTTCAGATTCTCCATCTACATCTCTCTCTTCCCCACAGAACACCCAACTGAGATTTTTATTAAGCTCCTTGAGGAAATATACAATGGAAATGTAAAACATTATCTCCTCATATCTATCATGTCTTCTCTTATCAATTTATTTAAATAGCTAGCAATATAACACACAAAGCCCACAAATACTTCACAAGAATAACCTTTATGATCAATTACTATACATTTTTATTCTAATTACACAAAATAAAAGCATGTTCCAAAGGTTATAAATCAAGAACCTGACAAAACCCTTTCACTGTGTTCTGAGGTAAGAAAATACTTGCTCATTTGTCATTTTACAGCATGTTAGAAAAACAATCATAAATAACTCAACATGGTCCTCTGAAGGGTCATTAATCCAGCTTAACTGCTCTCATGTCCTAAGTTCACAGACTGTCACACACCTGGCATGTCTGCCATCACACTTGAGAGGCTGGTTATGCGCCTCTTAACCATTTCCATCACTGCCGAATCAAAACTTCATTGATTATTAGACTAAGGAACTAGCAAGACATTTAATAAAACATCTGCAAATAACTGACAGATTTAATGTTAAAACAGAGAACCAAATGAAATATTACCACAAATGGTCTGGTGTCAGTGTATGCACTGCCCAGTCATCCGACAGCCATGTTTGGAACTACCAAAATAGCCAGCTCTGTGCTCACAACCAACCCTCACTTCAAGGATGAGCAGGACCAGGAACCACTTCTATTTTCACACACACAGGTAAAAGTCATTTGGATTCAACTTTTCTTTTTCTTCCACAAACAAATCTACCTGGTGCTGTGTGGCAGGTCAGACCCTATAATAATAAGAGCGTAATATGCTAATTAGACCAGGCGTCCTCCCAAATGAAGCCGGGGCTGCAAGGGAAGCCCGGGTTCTGGGTGACTGCCAGTGGCCAGAGGGAAGCCAGTGCCGGCAGCTGGGGGATGGAAGGCCTACTCTTGCACTAATTTCGTGCATCGGGCCTCTAGTCTATAAGGAAATCATACCCAGGCAGTAAAAATAAACTCAAAGGTGGAAGAGTTACTTTGGTTACTTTGACTGAGTTGGAATCTAATTTGTTTTCTGCATGATTTATTTAATCAATGTTTTGGAAATGATGTGATTTATTTACAAGACAGGCCCATAACCTCTTATCTGTAATTCTGAAATCCAAAAAGCTCTGAAAAGTCAAAACTTTTTCCCCCCTAAGTTTGGTTTAAAAACAAATGTGGTGGCAAAATCTAACCTGCATCCACACGAGGTCATGTAGAGTCTCTATTTACCCCACTTCAGTTTGAACGGTCATACCTCCTGCTACAGAATTATTATTGTGCTTGATGATAGCATTGCCCCAGTGTTTCCAATGGGACTCATAGCATATATATTATATGCACTATACCAAAAAACATGAACATTCCTAATTCCAAAACAAGTCTGGTCCCAAGAGTTTCAAAGAAGAAACTGTGGATCTCCACAAAATTAACCATAGCAGGTATTAGACCAAGATTTTATCCTTGCTCTACCAAGTTCACAATTTTCCATATCTACATCTCATCCTGTATTTTTCTATGCTCTACAACTTGTCTTTAGATTAACTCTCCTTTTACTCTTTAAATAAAACCAATTTTCCAAGAAATTCCTGGCCTTACTGTAAATGGGAACTGTGCAAGATATTTAATAAAACATCTGCAAATAATTGACATATTTAATTTTAAAACATAGAACCAAATGAAATATTACCCCAAATGGTCTGGTGCCAGTGTATAATAATAAAATAATAAAAACAAAACAATGAAACTGCATTCTGACTAAACATCTGAGCATCTACAGTGCCTGCTCTTTGTCGTAAGGGAGACTCTGCAGGACTCAGCAGTGTTAAAGATGCAGTGACAACAAACCCACTTTCTCCTTGAATGAGCAGGAAGGTCAAAAAAACGTGAAAAAGAAATATCTCCCTTACAATGTGGTTCGCTGTCATCTCATGTTAGGTTAAGATACCATCTCCAAGTTTGATGGAGCCCAGAAGAATTTACCTTACACTTTGGGAAACCTGCCAGGATAGTGGCATCATCCTGTCCATTAGGTAAGGAGTGCACTGAGTCTTGTGGGGGGAAGAGGGCGCATGACTATATAACAGTAAGGAGGGGAAATCTGTCTCCTCTTTAGATCTGTCGCCCACAACCTGCCATGTAGATTTGCTGGGTTACTCATTGCAACTATTTATAAAATTGTCCCAGAAGACCTTTGCATTGTAACTGTCTGGGGCAGCCGTGGCTCATGCTTGTCAAAGGACACCAACAGATAATAGGATCTAGAAGTGAACAGACACTGACAAATCAGAAGATGACAGGCTTATAAGACCTCTACTCTTTTATTAACTGCAGCATAATCACTGCAAATAATGGGCTTCCGACCAGCAGAATAAGATTTATTGTGAAAAAAGTCTTTAAAAGTACTTTCAAATAAACATCAGCTACCTATATTAAAGTGGCTCATTACTGCACTATTTCGGCCCATTACAAAGAAAAAGCTACAATGGTTTTGTTTTCTTAGGAAACCTGATCTTTGTAAGATTTTCAAGATATATGATTTTATTGCTTCCATATGTAACCACTTTAGTAGCAAATTAAGTGAAAAATTATTGCCAAAAAAAGTCCAAGGTTCTTTTTCAATGAGCCTATAGATGTAATTTGCAGTAAGAATCAGCTCTCTATCTTGAATTAATGCTATTTTTTTCCTGGTGGTGAGGAACACACGATACAATATATAAATGATATATTACTGAATCATGCACCTGAAATCTTATAATTCTATTAACCAATGTCACCCCAATAAATTCAATAAAAATAGAAAATAATTAATGAATGAATGATATTTTGTAAACATTTAACTCAACTCCCATCCACATAGCTGCAACTTTTAAATTGGTGAAGAGCAATGCATTGCAGTAGTTAGGAGCATGGGCCCTGGCCTGCCCAGATTCAAGGCCCCGCTCAATCACCAATTAGCTGTGTGACCTTGGGCAAATTATTTAACTTTTCTGTACCTCCATTTCCCATTTGTAAAATAGCAATGATAATATGTCTATTTATTAGCATTGTCATAAGGATTAAATGATTTATACTTTAAATGATTAGAACATAATCTGACACAAAGGAAGCACTAGGCAAATGCTTGATATTACCATATAAGAAAATGAGGTTGTATAGTTTTAACACTTTATGTAATTTTAATGCTTTAAAAAATGATTTCAACCATGGTTATAACTTGTTTAGAACCAACCCAAGGCAACTGGAATTCACAGAATATTCCATTTGCTACACAAACAGCTAAAATAATGTTGTAAATGGCTTAGCTCGTGTTAAGAAAAGCTCATCCTGAACATGGTAACTGATAAACAAAGTCAAACTACCCAGTTAGAGTTACCTTGCAACGACTCAAGGGTGAGAGCTCATGAAACAGGAGAGAGTCCAACAGCAGGACAAACAAAATATAAAGTCAAACCATCAGAGACAGCATTTCTCAAGAATAAAGGGAGGATTTCAGAAACTGCCGTGTTCTAACATGACAAAGTGGACTTGGGCCAGGTTCTCGCTGCAGAGCGCCTAGAGGGTAAACAGTAACTCTGAGGGGATCCCCAGCTCGCCCCTCTCCCGCTATTCTCAGGGCTT